GTCTGCTTCAAATGCTCAGTGACCTTGCTAGGTCTGCTTCAAATGCTCAGTGACCTTGCTAGGTCTGCTTCAAATGCTCAGTGACCTTGCTAGGTCTGCTTCAAATGCTCAGTGACCTTGCTAAGTCAGCTTCAAATGCTCAATGACCTTGCTAGGTCAGCTTCAAATGCTCAATGACCTTGCTAGGTCAGCTTCAAATGCTCAGTGACCTTGCTAGGTCAGCTTCAAATGCTCAGTGACCTTGCTAGGTCAGCTTCAAATGCTCAATGACCTTGCTAGGTCAGCTTCAAATGCTCAATGACCTTGCTAGAGCAGCTTGAAATTCTCAGTGACTATGCTAAGTCAGCTTCAAATGCTCAGTGACCTTGCTAGGACAGCTTCAAATGCTGGAGGGCCATCCAGGACGAGGAACTACAGATCTTCAAGAAACAGTTTCACATTGAAAACAGTTTTTAATAAGAGAAAATGTAGCATATGATGAAATTTCTTCTAATATACGCAAATGTCTGAACAGTGTCCGTCATTCAACAACCGAAAAGTGACACTAAAGTTGTAATCAAGAGAGAGAAAAAAAAGTAAATAATGACCAGGAAAAAGCACTAAGCCAGTACGACTACATAGCACTTGGAAGGGCTATGAGGACAGGGAGCTGGGACAGAGCGGAGGATAGGGAACGGTGCCCAACCATTTGTAGCATCGGGGGATCGAACTCCGACCTGCAAGAAGCGTGGTCGTCACTGTACCAATCAGGACACGTGGTTGGTGTTATCAAGAGTTTGTGTAGGAATGCGCATGGAGGTAAACACAAAAATAGGAAAAGCACCTGTCTGCTGACGCATTTATAATAAATATTGATTTATTTATAATTTATTTATTTATTTATTTATTTATTTATTTATATACAAGAAGGTACATTGGGGATTAAGAGAGTACATAGCAATGATGTTTTTACGTTCTTGTAAAGTCACTAGCACGCATAGCGTTTCGGGCAGGTCCTTAATCTAACAGATAATTTTAAGTAGGTAAATTTCCAGCAAAATTGACAGAAAATATTTACAGGTACATTGTAAGAAAATTTGACACGATACACAGATTAGATTAAAACACAATAATGACAAAGATTTTTAGAAACATTAGAGTAAAATTTGAGGGTTATCAAATGGTTCATTGTAGCACAATCTGAGGATCATTTCAAGGAATAATGCAATATGCACTCAATATAATAACCATGATATAAGGTGATAGCAATGATGACAATGGTAAAGATTGTATGGTTTAGGTACATATATTGGGGGTTTGGGTTGCACTAGAAACAGTGCGAGTATAAAACACTAGGAAGGAACCGATGAAGGTGAAATTAGATCCTTTTTGGTTTTATTTTTGAATAAGTCAAAAGTTGAACAGCTTTTCAATTCATTAGGGAGTGAGTTCCACAGACAAGATCCCTTTATTTGCTTACTGTTTACACAGATTAAGTTTGACTCCGGGAATATCAAAGAGATATTTAGATGTATTTAGATAATGTATTTGATAATAATAATAATCTTTATTTAAGCAAAAGTAAGAGCATATGTACATAGCATAAAAAGATTGTATGAATCATGGGTAGGGCAGATACAATGTCTGACGCTACTAACACCTAGTATGTTTTGGGCATCAAATGGAAAGAAAAACTAAATATAAAAAAACAATAATGAATTGCGGTAGATCAATAGAAAGTGGCAATTATTACACGATGATTGGAACAGCAAAAATATCAATAGAACTTATTAATTTTACTGTAAAAAAAAAACAGAGGGAATACACTTTTTTATTAATTTTTACATTGGAAATAACAGCTAACAGTAGTAGTACAGCTTCAGTAATTGAAGTTCAATAGCAGCAAAATATAGGTTGATATATAGGAAGAAAGGCAGGTTACATAGAGTTTATGAGGTAGCAACAGGTACTCTGAGAGAGAACTCTATCAACATCAGAGGTCCGAGACTGTTCAACACGCTTCCACTACACATAAGGGGCATAACTGGCCGACCCCTCACAGTGTTCAAGAGAGAACTGGATAAGCACCTCCAAAGGATACCTGATCAACCAGGCTGTGACTCATACGTCAGGCTGCGAGCAGCCGCGTCCAACAGCCTGGTTGATCAGTCCGGCAACCAGGAGGCCTGGTCGACGACCGGGCCGCGGGGACGCTAAGCCCCGGAAACACCTCAAGGTAAGGTAACCTTAAGGTAGCTCCTAGTTTCTCTTTTAAACTGGTTGAGAGAGAGACAGAGACAGTCTTTGATGTAATTAAGGAGGTCATTCCTCATTTATGGCCCCTTGATTTGCAGAAGACGTTTGCTTTGGTTAATATATAATATATTTAAAGATTTACTTAACCAGCCTGAATGCTATTTGGGGCTGATATACATGTTAAACTTTTATCGAGGTTCAACCCCCCCCCCCCCCCCCCCCCCAAGGTCGAACTAAAGAGTGCCACCCCCAGGATGCAACCCTTCAACAAGCTGAGTAACTCCTGGGTGCCTATTTACTGTTAGGTGAACAAGAGGCATTAGGTGATAGGAAACGCTCCCAACCATTTCTGTCCCGCCCTGGTTTCGTACACAGAATTCCCGATTGTGAGTCGAGAACGAACCCGATCGTGGACCAAAGTGACAGTTTGTATTCTGACACAACAGTAGCAAAGGCTAAAGGCATTCACTCCCTCCAGTGATGACGACCACCTCCAGCCTCTTGTGCACAAGACTTGCGATTGCAAAATTTAACCAGTACGGTAAATCCACTTGAGTCTGATTTTATCTATAATATTGCAATTCATGACGACTTATATTGAATTTTGTAACTAGCTCATCAAGACTGTAACTTGCTTAGCTAAATGAATTGTGGGGTTCAGTGCCTGAGCCCATTATGTGCCTCTGTAACCCTTTCCACTACCACCCACAAGATGGGAATGGGGTGCATAATAAATGAACTAAACTAAAATTATCTACCTTAAATATTCGTGAAATTTAAGGAAATATATACGTTTAATTTAGAATTAATAATAATTCATTGTGTCCGGGGACAGGCAGCCAGCATATAAATGCATGTTAAGCTTATATTGAGGTCCCCCCCCACTATGATTGCATAGATATCCCCCCTTCCCCCAAGATGTAACACTATAGGAAGCTCACTAACTCCCGGGTACCTATTTACTCCTCGAAGAACAGTAGTATTAGGTGATAGGAAACGTGCCCAACCATTTCTGCCACGCCCGTTATTCCCGAGTGTGATTCAAGTGTGAACCCAACTGAGTACCGACACCGAGTACTGACACCATACTGCACTCTGGTGGATAAATGTGTAGACAATTTCTGTTTTCTGTTAGGAGGCTGAGAGATTTCCCTTCCAATTGCTCTGGGTAAGACTTACCCCCAGTATAAGACTTACTGCCACTTCCTTCTGGAAAAGGAAGAAACTCTAGATAACTACAGAAGCATCATACTGTCTTCTGAGCTCAAAGCAGCAGCTAAGAGTCTTCGTGAAAATTAGGAAATAGTTGTCAAAAGAGACAATAAGTTGCCAAAATACTCCATCCTCAAAACAGATGAATATTTTGAGAAAATAAACATCATCCTCTCTGATGAAACTAAATTTCAAAGGATCACAAATGGTTCCACTGACGAACTGAAAACGAAGGTAAACTGAGTGGTTGAAACTGTTAATGCCAAAAGGTTTGGACTTGCCGAAAGCTACTGGCGAACACAAGCCTGGATATGCAGACGGTATTGTCAACACCCACGAACCTGGACCCCTCACCCACATGCAGGGGTCTAGTAGCTGACTGCCAGACTTGTAATACTATGGCCCGGGTTCGATTCCCAGACCAGGCAGAAGCAAATGGGCAAAAGTTTCTTTCACCCTGATGATCCTGTTAACTAGTAGTAAATTGGTACCTAGGAGTTAGCCAGCTGTTACGGGCTGCTTCCTGGGTGTGTGTGTGTGTAGGAAAACAAAGTTAGTTGTTAGTAACAGTTGATTGAGAGGTGAGAGGCGGGCCGAAAGAGCAAAACTCAACCCCCTCAAGCTAGGTGAATACTAAGTCAATACATGCTGACTGTCGAAGTAACTCAACACACTGCTGACTCCATGCGTGCCATGAGCTTTCAACCTTTAAGTCTCCAAAGGAATTACCTTGCAGCAGATTGACGAGGAAAAGGACCCTATTGGAGTTAGAATCCACCATTCACTGAAAGTTACATATCAAATGAGAGCTGCAGTAAAAAATGTTAACTAAACTATAGGAATAGTAATAAACTATAGGAATAGGAATAGTTTTGCGCCAAGAATCGTTGTTACAATTAAGTGCACACTTTACTGTTGAGTTAAACAGAGGGTACAGTTAAGGATTTGTGCCCAGTAAATTCTCCCCGACCAGGATACGAACTCATGAGAAAGCGATCGCGGAACGCCAGGCGAGTGTCTTACCACTACACCACGGAGGATATTCCCTATGAGATGTATTTTTTTTCTTGTCTCAATAAACTTACTTGAACTTAAACTTGAACACCATGGAGGATATAAGACAAACAAGAAGCAACGGATTTAAGCTCAACAAGCCACAGTGTAGGACAGAAAACAGGTTACTCTTTCACCCATAGGGATACACCAATGGAATCGCCTACCCGCTGAAACCGTAAATGTCAAAACAGCTAAATTTTAAAATTCAGCTCGATAAAATATTCACAACAAATGGGGGCCCGGAACCTTTCACAAGCCGCCGGCTTCCTGCCCTCGTAAAGGCCACTAGAGAAATGGTGGCCCTCGGGTAAATTCGGGTAAAATATTCACAGGCTTCCTGGCCCCTAACAAAACGAATTAATTTTGGTGAATTCGGAGAGCAATTCAAGGACGTATCTAAAATTATTAGGCATCTCAAAACTAGATGGCAGCATAGTCCATGTAGTCCTAGTCTATGCTGTAGTGTTATGACAGCTACAGCATATATGACGTCGAGTTTCTCATCATGGTACAATATTTATATTAATCTGTTATTTCTTAGTTTAGGGAAAACTGTCAACATATTTACACCTGGAAAGGGGCACCGCGGTGTTTCGTCCTCACCGATACCGGCGTCAACAGGTTCAGCGGGCCTATAGTGCTGTCGTAATAAGAGGTATTATTTTTACCTCCCGTATTCAGTTATGAGATACATTGAGAGATAAGGAGTTATTTTTTTTTTGTCCCCTGCATCCCCTTGCCACTTCGGGGGGGAACCTACCTACTTGTAGGGTTTTTTATATAGCTTCAGGGCACCATTGAGACAGTGAGAGATAGTGCCCCTTTAGCCTTCTTTTTTACCCAAAACATTTTGCGTAATAGCGACTTCTTTAGTGTGTGTGTAACTCCTCCGCCCCCCCCCCCCCACACACACACAATTATACATTACTCCTATGTTCTTTGTGTTATTTTGAATAAAAAATTTAAATTGAAAGAAGACTCATGGTTCAGAGATCTAGTGAACCTCTTGACGACACTTCCGCTTGGGGGCCGAGGCCCATTGGAGTGGGAAAATTTTATTCTGGGTTTTGATACTACTGTCTGGTTTCTCATAATTTAATTTACAGAGCTGCATATCATTAGGTCAGATTAGCTTAGACTGGGTTAGGTTAGGTATTAATCTGCTAGTGAATCATCCCTAGACATTTATTTATTTATATATTACTTTTATTTATTTATATATATACAAGAAGATACATTGGGATTGTGAGGATACATCGCATAGTAATTACATTCTTGTAAAGCCACCAGTACGTGCAGCGTTTCGGGCAGGTCCTTAATCTAAGAAACTTTTAAGTAGGTAAATACTTGCAAAATTTATAAAAATGATAAGTTACATAGCAAGAAAAAATAAAAGATGAGAGAAAAATTGTAGGTGTATTAAAGCACATAGGTAGCTCAGAATGATTGCAATGACATGAAAATAAAGTATCTCCAAGTCAGTGCAGTCTTGCAGTCCCCGTGGTGAAGTGGTAACACAATCGCCTGGTGTTTCGCGAGCACATTGACCTGGGTTCTTATCCTGGCCGGAGAGGATTTACTTGGCACCAATCTTTAACTGTAGCCTTTGTTCACCCAGCAATAAATGTGTACCTGGTTGTTAAATGATTTGGCTGTGCCATATTCAGGGCAAAATTAGGATTAAGGACCTGGTCGAAATACTATGCATGATAGTGGTTGTACAAAGAATGTAAGAACTCTTGTATATATAAAAAGTTGAAAATTCACACTGGCATGCCAAACAGCAAGCCACCTTGCAAAGCCACCCTGGCTGAAATGCTATGCATGTTGGTTGCTTTGCAAGGATGTAAGAACACCAATGTTATGTACTCTTAAAAAACCAATGTACCTTCTTGTATATAAATCTATATAAATAAAAATGGAAATGTTCATTTGTTCAAAATCGCTAATCTCCGAAAGTTCTTCACCGATTGCTTTGAAATTTTCACACAACGTTCCATTCGCTTCTTGTCCATTGAAAAGATGATCTTAAAATTTATTTTCTTATTTTCAGCAAACACATCCTCGGCTACTAAATAGTAGAAACATTTTATGTCCAAGATGGAAAGTGGAGCTCTTCCTGAAACTCGAGAAGTTCTCTGTGAACACTTAAATGCCAAAGTTCGTTATCTTAATCCAGCCCTTGCTGACCAGGTGAGTTAAAAGTCCTCATGTTTATATATAACCATAATGCTACTTGGCCTTTGTGATAACGGCTACCGCTTTTAAATGTGTTTGAATTGGATATGAAGAAAGTTGGTAATCAGTACTTGAACAAAATGGGATGAACAAAATTAATACATATGTATTAAATCTTCATATGTATATCTTTATTTCTTTCAAGCCAAATTTTCCCTTAGGGGTAAGATATTGAAGTACAGCATTATACCGAGTTCAAATACTCTTTTTATTAATTTTCACAATAGGGTAAAAGATATTAGCAGTTTCACCTAACCAATTAGATATATCAATTTGCTTTTCTTGCCGAGATGTTATTTTGCCAATCAAATAGGTTATATACCTTGCACACTCCTAAAGCTTGGGACTTATACTCGGACAAATTAAATTATGTATGTATGTATGTATGTATGTATGTATGTATAAATTATGTATGGCACTGGCCCCACAAGGACTACAGCATCCCTGCAGGATCGAATTTGAGGCTTGTGAGTCACTTTAAACAGTAGCATCCAATGAGAATAGGAGAATAGATTGATGCTCAGATTAATCTCTTCTTAAGAACAAGCCCCATCATATTTGCGACTGCAAATGGGAACCCTGGGTTAACTTATTTCTTCAATAACAAACAAGTTCCCTGGTTCATTTTCTCCTCTCACCCATGTCCAGACGGCATTTCACAATGCTGATTTTGTTGAACCTATGCTCTCTGGTGGGGTTTTCCCTTGTTTTATGGTTTGATCTCTGATCGCTTGCTTCCCATACCTCGTAGAGCAAGCCCGAGTCTGGTCCTGGCTCCCAGTAGGTGATAAACAAGTCTGGACGGTCTTGTGTGTGTTGGCCTAAGTCTTAGTGGCAACAGAGTGTGGAATGTTACTGCGGGCACGCACTATAAAAGAACATTTCATTACATATGATGCTTGAGTTTTTCTCAATGCATGTTTTGCTGAAGTATTTTATTTGTTAATACTTTTATTTTATTAATATTTTGTGAACTAAAAGCATGGAGTTTTAGAGGTTCATTATCTTGTTTATGAGGAAATTATTTTGTTTCTTTCCAGGTGACAGACATGTTAGCTGTTGACAGATCAAATAATGAGATTATAGATTTGCTTACATCAGATAGCTTCTTAGAAGAGAATGTTGAAAGAGCAGTTGCATCCCTTTCTGAGTAAGTATTAATATTCTGGGATTTGTCTGTGAAAAATATTATCCTCAATGAAATTTTGGTTGTGTATTTGAATTGTAATCCAACTTATTGCAAATTGTGGATGGTTCATAATATTTCATGGTGAAAGTAATGAAACTGTATAAGTAATTAGCATCACAAAGCTTGGTAGAAAATGTTTATTTGAAAAGCATAATGATTGTTAAATTGCAATGATGCATATTAAAACATGATTATCGCATACAATATATAATTCAACTTATTCTCATTGTAAGAACTCCTCGGTTATCGTTCAAAGCATACTTTACTACAGGTGATAATACAGTGTAGCATGACTCAAATGGATTGCTATGAAAGAAAACCCCCTAGATGGGTCAGAAAAAACTGATTTGCAAAACAGTCTTGCAGAAACAGGCAGTAAATGCTGTTTATTTTTACTTTAATCTTTTACTGAAAAATTGTGTACCGGTAATAATTTGTTAATGGAAACTTGTTTTTCTTCCGAGATGTCTGTTGCCCAAATTATAACTGGATGCAGACATCCGTATGTGATTTTTACTCTTGTGATCACACAATGCATCATTACTTAAGAATTTTCATTAATTTTTCTTTTAATAGTTAATTATTTGCAAATAGAAAAAAAGTCTAAATGCAGAGTAATCATGATAAAGCAGGTAGGGGCAAGAGGAAGTTTTTAATAAATGGAAGAAAATTCTAAATTCATTCTGAGATGAGAGAGCAAGGCTAGAGAGTGATCCTGGGAGAGGCTTTTGATAAGAATACTAATGCTGTTTTTCATATAAAGAAAAGATACTGTATTGCGATATTTAAAGTTCAGTGCAATAAAATAAACAAAAATCATGTCACAGTTATTAGTCTGGCTGGTTAATAAAATAGTCGTCAAAAGCCAATTTTACTGCTGCCACCTACATGCAGCTGTGTATGTTTGTGCATTGAAACAATTTACACTCATTATAAGAATTATTTTACTGTATATTGTAAATAAAATATATTCTTTAGTTCAATATTAGAAATAATTAATACTACTGTTTACAAAAAAGTTGCTGACATACACATTGACAAGATTATAAAAAAATGTTTCAAGTCATCAATTATTGTTCTATTTAGACCAAAGTAAGTGGGATTGTGTGAGCTTGGCTATCTATTTAACACTTTATAAATTTACTGAAATATGCTATCCATCACATACTAATTGTTTATAAGCTGCCTATGCAGCAAAACACGAAAATTAGTGTATTGCACAGCTGAAAGTAGTGTCGGGTTCATTCTCGAACCACAATAGAGAATTTCAGGTTCAAATCCGAGGTGGGACAAAAATGGTTGGGCACATTTCCTATCACCTAATGCACTTGTCCACCTAGCAGTAAATAGGTACCCAGGAGTTAATTTTTATGAGGCTGCATCCTGGGGAGTGTCAGTAATTCAACCCTAGATGGGAGACCTCGATATAAACCAAACATATACTGTATGTTATATACTGGCTGCCTGGCCTTCCCCCCCCCCCCAACATAATGCAAGGTTAAATGGTCATGGTTATTCAAGGTAATAGGGTGGTAAAACTACATCTGCTTCATGTTATGATTACTTACAGGAATCGGGTGAAAATATGGATTAACCTTTCAATTGTATGTGATAATCAGGGATGTTCTCACCATTTATGATCTCATTACATGAAACAATGAGGGATGTTTTTAGGTACAATGTAAGATTAGAACTCCTTTGGGTACAAAGAGCTCACATTTGCTTCCTCAGAGCTCCAGTAAACAGAAGCGAACCTGGAAAAAATCATGGACACCCCTCTCGGGTGTGTGTAGTGGTCTCACTACTGAGAGAGCAACTATGGGTAGCACATACAGCTGTAGCTTACAGCACTGCCATACAGCTCGTGCCTACAGTATCACTTAATAATCATGAAATAAATAAGTCTATTATTATGATTATGATATTATTATTACTATTATTATTTAAACAGTCTATACAAGAGTTATTACATTCTTGTAAAGTCGCTAGCCACTAGCGTTTCGGGCATGTCCGTAAATTTAATTTTCCACGGATTACGACCCGCCAAATTGTTTAACAACCAGTAACAATTCACTGCTGGGTGAGCAGAGGCTAAAGTTAAGGATTGGCGCCCAGTCAATCCTTCCCAGCCAGGATACAAACCCAGGCCAAAGCACTCGCGAAGCGCCAGGCGAGTTCTTTACCACTGCGCCACAGGGACTGGATTATTTAACAATGATTGTTTTTATCAGTCAGAATCCTCAGTGACATTGTGTACAAGCTTCAAATATCAGTGAACCCAATGTTAGTTACGATGTTCACAGCATGAGACAGACATCTACAGCACATAGCTGCAGTTTAATGTGTCTACGCACATGAAATGGGGCCTTCTGTTCCTTTAAAAAATAATTTTTTTGAAAACGATTCGTATTCAGGATTTAGTGACCAGGAATCTGATAATGACAGTGTTGGACTAGAGTTAACAATATGCATAGTATATTGAAAGGCATTTTGCTATGTCAGGTGCCAAAAGCAATTGACCGGTGTGTGGCACTGTGACCATTAAAAACTAAACTTTATTCAATATTTCAGACCAGATTCAGAGGTGCGAGAATCTCTTGGTGTCGCACTCTTCCAAATGGTTTCAATGCTCGAAAGTGAACTCTGTGCCCAGGTATGTCTTCCTTTGCCCCTTTGCACAAGGTTTCAGTAATTGCCGTAAACATTAACTGTTGGTAAAGATGATTTCCTCTCGGAAACAAAATGGGGATGTTGTGTTTGGGATGGTATTGTTAATGAAGGCAAATCTGACAGTTGGGATAAGGATCCACCTATACAAAAGTTTGGCTTTGAGTATATGAAAAGCATTTTACTGAGCAAGCTTCACAGTACCTCAGTAAGGCAAGGTCAACTTTGCCTTAGGATAGATCTGTGCTTTTTCAGGTCTGGTCAGCAATCAATATTGGAGGAGGACAATTTTTTATTTTTCAACCTGTCCCTGCTAGGTTACACTGATGTTAGGGAGACATGAAATATTGGCGGGACAAAAGTAGTGGAGGGATTAAGAAACAGTCAAGTATTTGGTAAGGCAGGAAGTGCCTTACCAAATGGGTTGTAATTGATGTGTAGGTCTGGGGGGGACTGTTCCAAGTAACAGTCGTTTTAGGTAGAAATATCACAAGATAAGCCTGGCCCCAGGCCGAACCTGAGGAGCAGAACTCTCAGAACCCATTCCAGGTACAGTATTCCAGTTGGGAAGGGATTTAGTACAACCTAGAATAACTGCCAGAAAGTACATTCCAAAAAATTTAAAGCCATTCCAAGAAAACTCGTAAAGTGCACAGGGCTGCAACAGCTGACCACTGTCAGGCAGCAGTACATGACACGAGTGTTAATAATGATTTTACAAATGTTTCATGCATCTACATGAGTGTTATTACAAAGAAGGCCACCCAGTGGCAAAGGGAGTAGGGGATGTGGATTTTCACTTCTTGTTTCAAGGGAACACAACCTGGTCAGTCATGTAATAATGATCAATTGATAATTATTCACATGGTTAGTTGAGATGTTATGGCTGTCCAAGCGTGTTCGAGGGCAGATGCAGTCGTTGATGTACTTCTGATGGGTTTAGTGATCATGGGAATTCACGTTCAATAGTTGATGCAGCTGAGGAGGCTAGTAAGTAACTGGTTATTAGGCAGGCAGAGGTCAATATTCAAATCTCCTATCGGTAAAAGTTTATTTTTTTTTAAGTTGGTTAACCTCTGCTCACTCTAGGTACCACTTACAGGCTCCACCAACTGAACAATGTGGTCCACATTCTTGGTTTCTCATTACATCAATTTATACATCCTAACATGAATAAAATATTCCCTGGCAGTTCTTTTGACTAGTTTGTTGGCAAGTATGATTCTCAAAGAAGGCCTAATTATGTTCCGATAGACGGCAGTAACGAAACAGCAGGACACTCGGTCACTGCTCGACCCTACTTTTTGTCCTTTCTTCCTAGTGCTGTAACTTCTTTTTTGGTTCAGGCTAGATTGTGATGGAGCTCAAATTAGGGGACCTTATTGTGGTGTACGAGCTGCTACCTGATGGCAGTTGAGGGAGGCAACCAGATATGCCAATTGGTAGTAGTGAGCACTGATGGATATTCAGATATTGTATCTGTGATGCCAGCTTACATTGGAAAAAGAGTGTATTGAAATGAATGTTTTATTCTCACTTGAACTGAGCATTCTCTAGTGTCTTTCTAGCATCAGTATAACCCAGCAGGGGACAGTTTGAAAGGATGCGGGGAATATATACTCCAAAAGATATACAGTACCCCATTTTTATGTCTACACTGAAAGTTGACTTTAGTCCTGGACTATGTTCATGACTAAAGTATACTTGCTGGTTAGTTGGTAAGCTTATACTTGGTCGTTGGTTGGTAAGCTTATACTTGGTGGTTGGTTGGTAAGCTTATACTTGCTGGTTGGTTGGTAAGCTTATACTTGGTGGTTGGTTGGTTGGTAAGCTTATACTTGCTGGTTGGTTGGTAAGCTTATACTTGGTGGTTGGTTGGTAAGCTTATACTTGCTGGTTGGTTGGTAAACTTATACTTGCTGGTTGGTTGGTAAACTAGGTCTTATGGTCATATTAACTTCTGTAGTGCACAGCTGTTTAATTTGACAACTCCATGAAGCACAAAACAAAAAAAAGATTTAAAAATCTTATTTTCCTTTCTAATGCTGTTAAAGCAAAGTCTTGAGATTTATGAGCATTTACAGAGCAATCAGCCCATAGTGATCTCCCCAACCCTGCCATGAAGATATATTTACATGTTTCAATGTCTCCGTTTTCCTCTTGTGTTTTGCAGTGATATTCTTCAGTAGTGTGTAATTTGGTAAATATCTATAATACATTGTGCAGAACATCAATACACACATACATTTATGTCATGACTTGATAATGATCCAGGGCGGAAAAACATTGTAATTTATCCATCTTCTGATGTGTGGTTTTGTCATCGTATCTTCAGCCACATTGTGACTCATCATCTGCATACATTCGTGTCGCTCATATGCACATAATGATAGTATACTTTTTATAATAAAGCATAGTTTTTGTTATTACTCTGCATACACAAGATCTATATAATTGTCTACATGTTTATACAATTTTGTGTACCCTAAGCCAAGTGTGTGATAACCTTTGATCATGGTTATGAGATTATCATAGTACCACATATCATGCACTAAACTGTGCTGATGATAGGCCTTAAATCCAACACTAAACCAAAGGATTCCTGCTGTGCAGTTGCACACCGTAATTTAGTTCTTACCGTGCATGATATTGTCCAAGAGACAATATCATGCGAATAGTAGAATCCCCCACAAAAGTAGAATCTTGCCAAAGGGAGCAACAGTTTGTTAGGCTGAGAAAGGAGCTTTTCATGTACACTTAAAAGCCTGATTTTGATGTGAGGAATAGTGATTACATATTCTTTCACTGGGTGTGTCTTGTCAATTGTTTCAAGCTGTTGCTTGATTGTTAACATTATCCAATTCTTTACAACTTTATCTTAAATAGTGTTGATCTTGGAAATTGTTTTGATGTGAAATAGTCTTCACAATTTCAACACTGGCCAATGAACCAAGGAAACAAAGATATTTGACTGCATACTTAAGACCAAGTATTAAAAGTATAAAAGAAAAGTGTAAACAATGAAATAACAATAATACTGAAAGTTTAGAAAATGAATACAGTACAGTCTTAGCATTTAATATTATAAATACCGAATTTTTGTATTTGACTATAATATGTGATGGCACTGCCACATTTGAAACAAGTTGTGTAATAGAGATTTATTGATTTGACGAATGTCAATTTTGTAAGACAACATTACTTTGTAAATTTCAGCTGTATTATCATCTACAGTATATGATTACCTGCTTACATTTAGTAATCCTTCTCCCACTATTCAGCAGGATGGCCCATGGAGAGTCCCCTCCGTGCTTCCTTATCCTTGAAAATCCATTGTGAAAATGACTGGTAAAGGAACTAGTGCATGTAGCTGACTTAGTAAGTGTATATGTGTAACTCTGCACTTCAAAACATGTTTCTTGCACACCAGCTCCAGAAGACTAGGGAGCGGGTTCGAGGGTATCATAGTCTTCACTCTCACTGTATTTCTGCATGGTTTTTGTCTTCATGTATCGTCGTCAACTGTGGATAACTTGGCAAAATGGTTGAATACAATAGTATATTGAGCCTCTTGGTCACAGGTTGAGCATGGATGTGGGAAAATCATCTCAAACAGAAGACTCGTGCATCACTTGTATTTGGTTCATTGGGTCCCAATATATCTGGAGGGTAACTGCAAGCTTTTAACCTTTACTGTAACTGTGTTTCTGGGGTCTATTAATGTTGTCCATTAAAAACTACTGGAAATTCAAATTTACATCATAAGTGCCATACTAGCTCTTCAGAGCAATGTCTTTCTTACATCGTTCAGTGACTATTGCTTAAGAAAATGTGGATGATGCCTATGATTCTCTTCCCCCCCATTCATTTGAACTGGACAGGGCATTCAGTCCCTGACTATCAAAGTGGTTGACCATCATTCCTTTCTTCCATCCTATCCCAAACCCATATACTGTACAGTACTTATATCCCTTCCAAGTGCTATATAGACATAATGGCTTGGCATTGTTTCCCGATAATAACATTGAAACTTTCCTCCTCAGTGATTGCTATGATGCTCAACATTGCTGACATCCCCCTCCACTCTGGTTCTGTATTGTATACTCCTTGGAACGTATTGTCAAGTTCCTAACACGTCTTCTTGTCGCTTCTGTGGGGTTTTGTTATTTGTTTAGCTCCATTATGCAATCTCTTACTGTATTTCCTCCATGTGTGTGTCCATATGGTTTATTTGCTGTTCTCTGCTTTTTCATTTTTAAATTGCTGCTTTCCAGATATTGGTGTGCAGTGCTAATTTCTGGCCCTCACTAACACTTTGTGATGACTTTTGTGCCCAGTTCCTTATTCTTTTCAGTGTATTTCTTGTCCTGTTTTTATTATGTGCATTGCTTTTTGAACCAACGTTTAGTCCTGCTTTTTTTTTTTTGCTCATAGTGTCCTAGTGGAAGGTACTGTTCTGTGGCATCGGCACATTTTGCAATGGTTTTATACAAATTTAAAGTTGGATACTCAACTATATATATATATACTGTATATATATATATATATATATATATATATATATATATATATATATATATATATATATATATATATATGTCGTACCTAGTAGCCAGAACTCACTTCTCAGCCTACTATGCAAGGCCCGATTTGCCTAATAAGCCAAGTTTTCCTGAATTAATATGTTTTTTCTAATTTTTCTCTTATGAAATGATAAAGCTACCCATTTCATTATGTATGAGGTCAATTTTTTTTTATTGGAGTTAAAATTAACGTAGATATATGACCGAACCTAACCAACCCTACCTAACCTAACCTAACCTAACTTTATAGGTTAGGTTTGGTTAGGTAGCCGAAAAAGTTAGGTTAGGTTAGGTTAGGTAGGTTAGGTAGTCGAAAAACAATTAATTCATGAAAACTTGGCTTATTAGGCAAATTTGGCCTTGCATAGTAGGCTGAGAAGTGAGTTCTGGCTACTAGGTACGACATATATATATATATATATATATATATATATATATATATATATATATATATAATTTATTTATTTATATACCTATTTATATATAAATAAATAAGGTGTTTATTTTTTTTTGGGGGGGAGGGGCACAGGAATATGCTTCACTAACCCAATTACTGTACAGTATTGCAGTTTGCAGGCAACAATATGCATGAAGTTGCCATAGGGACAGATAAAGGGGAGGGGTTGCGGGATGGGGAAGAGGTACCACAGGGACAGGAAGTGTGGGTGAGAGATGTTGTCGGGACATGCATTGGAGAGTTGCCATGGGAACAGATGCATGGGGAAGTTACCAGAGGTATAGAAGTGTGGAGGAGTTGCCACTGGGACAGAAGCAGGGGAAATTGCAACACGGTGAGGGGGACGGAGAGGAATTGGCATGGGGACAGACCAGGGTTGGTAAAAAAAAAAAAAAAAAAAAAAAGATCCACTATCAAATAGATAAAAAGTTATCTATTTAACCAATAAGATAAATAAATGTAAGTTTATATTTAAATAGATAGTTACAAACCAACCGTGGACAGATGCATGTGGGTATGGGGGTGGGGGAGGGAATTGACACGGGGCAAAATTGGTATGCTTAGTTATGCATGTGTGTGCAGGCGAGTCACAATAACGTGACTGATGATATGACGACCAAACCCTTTGTCGGCCGTATTACTGTAGCAGTTCGTCAGTTCTGGCTGACAGTTCACCTTGATTTATTTCAAATATGAATTTTTTAACATAATAATAGCGAAGGTTTGTTTTGTGAACTTGTTCACCGATGATCTCTCTCTTAAATCTTTAAATTGCCAGAATAACTAGGTCAATATTTTTGTTATATAACAGATTACTGGGATGCTGCTGGAGCTACCTATTCCCACCATCACACAGTTGTTGCAGGATGAGCGAGCCTTGAATGAGGCCATTAACAAGGCTCGTAGTGAATATCTGAAGTATATACAGGTTAGTAAATACAGTGATACATAATTTTTATGTATTTTACATAGTATGTACAGTATGTAATAGGATTATGTGAATATGTATGTAAGGTGTGTGTATATATATGTACATTATACTGTACAGTATGTGTAAGCCTCAGATAAAATCTGTCCTGATGAGCATTTGAGCCATGAAATTTTGTGACCTAAAAATCCTTCAAGATTACAGAGATAATGTCTTTTGTAATAGAGACAACCTACCAAATGGGATTTAGGGAGTCATGCATGTGAACAATTCAAATGAATGCTTTTCTTTCATTTCACTTTCAGTTCCATCATACCATCTGTATACAATGAAATTTCAAGAACGTGATGAATCTACTAGAAAATATTGTGAAGCATGTCTGAGGAATTCAGTGATGTCGATTCGGACCCCACCATAAGGTCTTGATATTTTCTCGTACCATCTTGAGAAAATTTCTCGTACTGTTGAAATGCAGGTACTATACTGTAAATAGTAATACAATGTATTCAAGATTTCAATTTGATCATTGGATTTCTCCTGCAAGAAATGATGACAACCTGTTGCTGAGCAGGATGAGTTATCAGAAGCAAAATTCAAATATCATCCTCACAGGGACAGTAGAAATCTTAAATGCTTACCATTCAAAATATTTGAATCATAGTTTTCTTCATTCAAAATAGAGGCCTTTGGAAAAGCCTATTCATCCCCCCAAAAAAGATAACTACCATGAAAATGCTTCTTGAAGGGACGTTGTCTTTAAGTTTAAAAAATTACAAATGATTTTGAAAGACCATTTGCTTATGTGTACTGTATCTACTACAAGAAACCAAGAGTATCCCATAATTTTCATCACTTTCAGATATTTAGTTCATCACTGCTCATGTGCAGTTCTGGTGTATCTGGAGGGTCTATTGTCCTGGGATGTCAATCCTCTATTTTGGTGGCAATTGCTAAAAGTGCCTTATCAAATTCCCCAATAGATTGTCCTGCCACACAGCAACTGAAAAAAGACCTTTGGATCCATTCGTTCATCACCAAGAAATGGCAAGAACAATAGAATGATAGTGAAACAAATTCAAAGCATTCCAGCTGCATGTAAAGCAATGGATAAGCCCAAGCTTTGTCACAATGCGGTGAATATGACTCGTCTTGGAACTGGTCGTACTGTACATGCTTACATTGTTGGCATCTTGTGAAGAGGGCCGAGTTGCCCATGTGCTAATCTTACTATTTTTACAGATACTGTATACTGAATGGTGAGGCACATACGGGACTATTTTAACTTCCGGTCCTTAGAGACTTTATAATGGAAGTTGAAAGAACAATAAATGTTCCATTGACCATGTTCTAAAAATGTGTTCAGTATCATCATGAATGTCATGTATAATTTTATATTTTTTTTATTCTCATTTTGAACATCATGACTGTCGGTGGAAAATAAAATGTTACGGTGAAAAGGTTAACAAGGTTGCACCATATATTAGTGTAACATGTCAGGTAACAGGCAAGAGTACTATCCAAAATCTGGAAAGATTAGAAATTTAGTGTCGGCTTTGACCTGGTCTAGTTGACTATTCATGCATGGCTATATTATAATTCTCATCTGTATGTGAATGTGTATACTGTATAACATTTGTCATATCTTATATCCTAGTGAGCAAGAATTGTATGCTTATTGATGAATTATAATTGGAAATATATTGTTATTAAAGATAGAATATTACAATCATGCTCTATATAGTAATATGCTTAATTAGTCAGTTAAAGTTTTAAGTACTGTACTAATAAATAACTTTATTGTCTCTCAGGAAGATCATGCAGAAGAGGTTCCAGGAGCACCACCCATAACTCTTAGCAAAGAGAAGGAGGAGTTGGGAGAAGTTATATACGAAAAGCTTGTCTCGAAGTATCCCTCTGAGGCATCCAAGCTAACGGGAATGCTTCTGCAAATGGATTACAAAGATCTTTTACATGTAATTGCTGAACCAGAGCTGCTTAAGAAGAAAGTTGAACTTGCTTTTAGCGTTCTTAGAGCAGAGTGTGGCAAGCAGCCCTAAAAATGTCTTCATGCAGCAATGTGGGACATGAAGGTTAGAAAACAATGAATTCATTTAATTTTATCCCCCTTTTTAAGTAATTTAGCAGGGTTTTAATTTTTGTACTTTATAGTTTTATATATATATACTGTGCTGTACAGTAACAGTAATAGCGTCGCCGAAATCTGGATCATAGCCTTCAGCACCCAATCTGGATTAGTGATTTATCTGGTGTTTGTGATAATTGTCAAGTTTTTACCAAATATTTGGGAGTCTCCTGATAGGCAATTTGGAGATTGACACATTAAAATATAATTATATTTATATATAATGTGTATTGACACACACACATTGAATTAACACACTGTTCTGCATATTTGAACAATAAATAAATAATGATTTTGCTCATAATTATTTATACATACAGTGTACTAAACAATAACAAAAATGTTTTTGCTCAAGTTTTTATAGCCTAGACTGATCTCAGTTACCCAGTGGTAGCAAAATATGGTTACTGTACTATATGTGTACAGTACAATACACATACAATACATCTTCAAAAATATTTTCACACATTTGAAATTTATATAAATCTGTAGTACTTAGCACTGTACAAGAATTTTGTAATGTTAATTTCAAGTTAGTAAATTTTGTTCATCATTTTGCTCCAATTAACAAACTAAACCTTGATTAAATTGGGGAAAAAATATTTTGAGTGGTAAATGGTCCTGGCATGGAACTACAGCAATACTGCTTGAAGGACTTGCACTTGACTCAAGTAGAAAGGTCGTAATACTAAGTGTGGGTACCTAACTTCTATTTATAGCATTATGTCTATGGGAATCATTTTGAGTTCTGAACAAAGCGTTTACCAACTAAAATACAAAAATCGGATAATAAAACTACTATTAAATTTGTATACTGAATATATTTTGCATGTCTGGAAAAATAAGCTAACACTCTGATATTAATTTTGTATGCAAGAATATAAGCATAAAGTGTTTACCTTGGATATATGTTGTATTATTCTTTAGAATTAAGCATTTGTTTTATTACTAATACAATATTTTCTACCCACTCAGATGACACATCCTAGTGACACTTTAAAGGCGAGTTCAAGGACATTCTGTGGAACGGATTCATGGAAGCATACGTAGACTTCTCGTTGATATGGTGCAACAAGCAGACGCCTGAGAAATGTAAAATATTCATTAGGACATTTGTGCTGGCATACATAATATTTTAAAATTTGATGACAACACATTTGATAATGATAGGATGAAAGCCAAATGTTTAATGAATGATTCAATTTGTTGTTGTTCAATAAAGGGGGTTTTTCTGTATATCAGAGGTCCTGCTGTATCCAAGCCTTAAAAAGTGAACCAGTCCCTTGAGACCCACCTTGATCTACTGTGAGCCAGGGCCAGAATCTGGCTCTCTACAAGGCAAAAGGAGATTGGGGGATTAGCATTACCCAAAATTATCCAAAACCAAGAACAAAAAAAATGCCAGAAAACTTGGGTAAAACAAAACGAAGCTATTGCTTGAAGAAATAAAACCTGAAGCCAAGAAGGCAAATGATCACTGCTGAGGATGAATAACCCTAAACTTGAAGCAACCAAGCTTCACCAGATGGCAGCCCTGGTTTACCCAGTCACTCGCCCATCTCTCCTGATGCAGTTAAGGGTGTACCCCTCTGTTGGACCTTAAGCAGCTCCATTTTTCAGCTAAGTGGTGTTGGCTATCCTTAGAACAGTTTTGTGAGGGGGCATTACTGTATATATTTAACAATTGTTTTATTATTGGATGTGAGTAGAACTATACACATTACACATGTTATTTCACTCTGGCTGTGTGCTAGAATTATTTTCCTGGTGGCCAGGTTACAGTTGCCCTACTCTGAAGAGCTTGGGTTTCTACCCTACAAGTTGCAGAGATTTTATGTAGTTGGCCGTGTGCTTGTCTAAATAGTCTAGTGTGGCCTCGACTCGTGCATTCTGGGAGGGTGACTCTTATTCATGACTTCACACACCTTGCTCCTATCAACCAAATAAGGTTAGGGTTTTGTGTGCAATTTGCAAATAAGCTCGACCCTTCACCTGTTGCTGCCATAACTCTCCCTGTTGTGAGGAGTGCCCTCTTACTGCCATTGAGAGCTACTAAAGGCAGGGCTACAACACATATGCCCTTGTCATGGCAGCTGTGGGTTTTGCACTTGGTTGGATCCTGGTGATATCTGGATTATGGATGGCTTGATAGGCAGTAGCCACCTTACCCTGCTGTCCCCTAACTGCTGAAGGAATAGGTGCTCTCTGCAACCCTATTCCCACACACTCCTCCTCTTAGCTCCATCTCTGGGTATGACCCGGTTTCCTAATTTTTTCCCAGCTTCTTGGCCCAGCACACTGTTGAGACCCCCCATATGACTTCTGCTACTGTACCCACAACCTACCTTTGATCTGTCGGCCCTGTGGTTTTGTGGTGTATTTCAGGGGGTTGGAAGTTTCTGATTGGTGCTTCTTCCTGGTGTTGGGCCTCAGGCCAGCCCAGAACCCACCTATTTTCCCAAGGAACCTACCCAGCTTTGGAAGGGGCTCCCATGGCTGACTTGCTTTGCTAGAGAGGAGGGGGTTTATTGTCAGCCAGCCCAAGAACCCCATCCCAGGAAAGGAGGTTCCCAAGCTGAGTAGCTATACAGCTTGAAGTTAGAGTGGCTCCTGCTCTCCTCTTCAGCCCACTGTGCACTAGCAAATTTATTTCTTGTGTGTTAGAGAAATGTATGGGTCACCATGCACGGTTATGTTACCTCAACTGGTAGTCGAACCTATCCAGCAGCTGTAGCCCCTGAGTGGCAACCTTCTGCTTTGGTGGGAGGGGATCCGAAGTAAAGTGGATGGTTTGTTATAGCCCACCTAAATTAATCAGCTCGTCTAGTAAGCCCTCCTAGTTTCACATGAAAAGTGGGCGTTGGGAAGTTGGTGTCCATATCAGTCCCTGGGATACCCTTCAATGGTGACCCATGTATACTGTTCCAGTTACCCCTTAGGTTGCTTGCCTATGTGCTTGTGCCTCCCCTTGTTGGGCTCTGTGGTGGATGCAGGGCAACAAAGTTAGTTCAGATTTTTATGACTACCTTGTCACCTGAAGTGACAAACTTTGATGATTACCAGGACCTTTCACACCTCTTTCACAGTCTTTAATTTGGCTGTTGTATCCCTCATGACCCTCAGGAATTTTGTTTACAAAAATGAACCTCATCCTCTCCGACCAATGTACTCATCTCTTTTTTTAGGATGACGTATATTGGTGACTTCTTGCCTCTACTTACTACCACGTCCTTGTTATCACGGAGGATCTTTGCTGCTGCTCTGAGCTTCGGGGTCAGTATAGTGCTCATGTATCTCCCTCGGGTATTCCCTCTTTCTGCGATCCGTTCTGCTTGCAGAGTATCTTTAGTGGTTACCTTCCTTTGGTTCTCAAGCTCGAAGATACTCTAAAGACGCTCTGCACGCAGAACTGATTGCAGAAGGAGGGAAGACCCCAAGGGAGATACAAGAGCACTATACTGACCCTGGAGCTCGGAGCAGCAGCTAAGATCCTCCGTGATAACAAGGACGTGGTAGTAAGTAGAGGTGAGAGGTCACCAATATACGTCATCCTAAAAAGAGATGAGTACATTGCAAAAATAAACCTCATCCTCTCCGACTAAACAAAATTCCTGAGGGTCATGAGGAATACAACAGCCGAATTAAGGACTAAAGTAAACAAACTGATCGAAACTGTCAACACAAAAAAGTCTGGACTTCACCTATCAAAAATCACTGGAGAATACAAACCCGGCTATGCATACAGAAACATCAAAACTCACAAACCTGGGAACCCACTGAGGCCAAGCATTAGCCAGATTCCAGCGCCCACGTACAGGCTGGCTAAGCGACTCTACTCGCTGCTGGCACCCTACGTACCAAATGTGTTTAGTCTAGGGTCGCCGAAGGAATTCGTTGACCTGTTGAGAGGATCACGGGCTACAGGTGTAAGAGCCTCCCTGGACGTGGAGTTACTGTTCACTAATGTGCCCGTGGACGAGACTATTAGAATGATGATGGACCAGGGTGTATCGAGATCCGACTAGCACTCCTCTGGATATACCAGAGAACTGAAATATTAAGATTAATATTATATTAAGAAAACTGCTTGAAGCTTGCACTAAAGAGGCATCCTTCCTATGTCCTGATGGACACATGCATAAGGAAGTGGACGGCGTCGCCATGGGCTCCCCGCTGGGTGTCTTGTTCACGAACTTTTACATGGGCACTATTAAGCAGAGAGTTCAGGTTGGGTTAGACCTAAAACCCGCCATGTACTGCAGTTGTGTTGACAACATACTTGTACAACTCCAGGATACCGAACGACTTGCAGTTGAAAGCAGCTTTCTAGCAAAACTCAATTTTAAACTTCATTTATGAGATGGAGAGTGGGAGTAAGCTGCGCTTCTTAGATGATGCAGTCACAGAAAGGAACGGGAACTTTCATCATGCAGTATATACTAAGACAAACATAGGGATGTACCTTAACTCTGACAGCGACTTCCCGAAGATACAAACGGAGTGTTGTGAATGCCTATGTCAACAGAGCTCTCACTCACAGCTCTGGGTGGAAGCAGGTGGATGAAGAGTTATGTAGAGTAAGAAAGATCTTGGTCAATAATGGTTTCTCCAATGGTTATGTCGCAGATATAATAAAAATAGGTGGCAAGGTGTGCAACAGGCAATGGAACAACTAATACCACAACACTCTTACTTCCAATAAAATTGTTCTACGGAAACTTTTTCCTCCGCTTTGTGGGCCATGGAGAAGGAGCCCTAAAAGAGATCATTGAGAGGAATGTTACCCCCAACTGACGTCAACCACAAGATAAAACTAACAATATATTATAAGAGTAGGAAAACTGCCAACCTGCTAATGAAGAATTCTCCCAACACCAAGAAAAACACCTTGAAAGAGACCAACATTGTTTACACCTTTACATGCCCACTTGGGGATTGTCAGGCCCAACGAACTCGGTATACAGGCAAGACAACAACATCCCTCTAGGCGATTAACAATGGACAAACAACAGGGCTCCATCAAGGAACATATAATCACCACACAACGAGATGATCACCAGGGATATTTGAACGAGCAACACCGAAATAATTGATAGATACAATGACAATAGAAGATTAGACATCAGTGAAGCACTGTATATCAAGAAATCTAGATCAGCAATCAATAACCAGCTAATACACAATTACACTCTACCCACTTCAAAACCTCAGGCCAATGCAGAAGCTGGACCGAATGACCCTAAAACAGGAACAGAAGCAGTCAGAAGAACATAAGCTGCCAAAATGTCACACTCTATGTTGATACATTTCATACTGTATTAATAAAACCCTCTTGTAATATCATTCACCATATGTCACCTTACCATAAGAGGATATAACCAGGTGCTAAGCACAGAAGAATTTGTCTTTGAGAATGTGAGGTGAGACCCTACGAAATGCATCACTAGGTGTCAGACCTAAATGATAAGTAAAAATGAATTTTGGAGAGTTATGTTTTTCTTTGCTGAAGCAGGAAGTTGAAAAATTAAGGAATATAAAGATTTGTGCCAGAATCATAAATCTAAAACTTTGCCATTTTCAACAAAATATGTTTAAAAGAAAGACTGCTACCAAAATATACTAATATAATATAATTATATATATATATATAATTTATTTTGCACTTACCCAACAACCCAATAAGAGAAGGTTTGGGTACGTCTTTTTCCTGTTGTACCTCCATCGGTGTTGGGGGGAGTGTATGTAAACAAGACTCCATGTTCCTTAATTCCATTAAGTGCTGTGCTGACACTGTAGTTGCCATTGGGTTCCTAAATGAAGTTAAATTTATTAGGTGTGTTATGGAAATTAAAGGGGAATAGTACTTGTAATCTTAAAATATTTTTTTCCCTTACGTCTCAAATTTTCTGTGAAATTATCAGTTCTCAAATCATTATCCCAAAAATGTTCAGATACAGAAATAAATTATATTATTTCTTCTTTGTTTTCTTGGAAGCCTTGCTGTCTGTTTTCAAATGAACTAAACAGAGGCTTCAAATAAACTTGCCATTGTGTCTTAAAAATGTCTAACTTTAGCCACCACCGATAAACATGCCACACGAAATTGTGCTGTACTTTCAACACCTACAAATGCTAATTAGCAATGCAAGGAATATTTATTAGTGCTTTGTAACCTACTGGTGTAAACTGTATGACCCACCCCCCACCAGATGGTAACACCCTAAACAAGAGGAAGGTTGGAGGGCCAGGCCAGCCCACTTTAGGCCTAGACCACCCACACAATATCAGGGAAGAGGGGATATATATGGATATGTGAGGATTCAAAGGACCAGCCCAGAAAGAAGTTTTTTTTATTTTGCTCAATGCAGTATTTGTGCCAAGGATTCTTGTAAGCTTCCTGAGCCAGCTGCCCCATGATAATTAAGGAAAAAGACTAAAACTACAGGAACAAGTATGGGACTTAAAAGGGTGGAAGATGAAGATAGCTGGGTCTAACTAATGGAGAGATGAACTGTCACATACATCTTAAGCACCTAGATGCCAACTAGCATTAGATTTATGATAAGTGCAGGCTTGGAACAAAGTCCCTAAGCACAATTAAGACAGTAAAACTGCTCAAAAAGGAGAAGGTCGACGATGAAAGCAACAAACCCCAAATAGTTTCAGAAAAGCTATCTCGGTAGCCGTTCGTTTTTGTCGAACAGCGCCAGGGATGACTACCTAGGAACACCTGCAGCAGCAGCAGGCAACTGCTGTTGATTTAGGGGCGACGATAATTGTGGGATCAGATGTGTCCAAGGCAACTGTAGTCAGTGGCACACAATAAACTACTGTAGTTATGCTGTGAAATGAACCATAAAGCAAGGGTAAATCTGCACTGAAGTAGCAGTATCCTAGAGAAAACTAGCCATAAATTTATATTGTTGGCCAGTGCAGAGACCAAGAGTAGCAATGGAGGATGCTTGGCATTTATATTTAGCCAACCTGCTCCTCAAACTTCACTGCTGTGTAGAGAGTTGGTACCTGTTTATAGTAGAGATGTAGTTTGTAACTGTATCTCGGAGAACACTAATTGCAATTCCTTACATTTCTAATAAGCATTTGTTGGGGATGTTTAGGGTATGACTCGCTTTTGTGCATCATAGTGAGCTGGTCATGAAAGTCGTGAACGAGTTGAACTTGTCATCACCTCCCTTCCTCATTAATGACTAACAAGAGCATTTATACTTGGACTAGAGAGTAAGGTAACAGGTGGACAATAATGGCTCTTAGTTTAGTATCTGAGAAAACCTTGGCTGAGAAATTCAAGTTATCCATTACGGTAGCTGTAGAATTTAAATGTACACAAACCTTGCCTCTGATAGCAGCATGAAGGACATGATGTATATGAGCACAAGTAGACCTGAAGCTCTGTAAAACCTGTGCATGGAATGGTGGTGGAGGCTGCATAGGGGTGGCTGAAATGGGGGAAGCCGCTGGAGATGATGAGACTGCAGAAGGCTCAGACTGAATAATCACTCCTTCTCCCACCTCAAGCTGCACCAGATGAAACAACACCCCATCTTTTCCACATGTAACCCTTGAACACAAAATTTAGAATTTTGTTTATATGTATTATAATATTAATATGAAGAATATATTTCATAATGGAGAAAATCTGTTAGACATAAGAAAAAAATATGGAATAACCCACACACATGAACTTAAATTTTGGATATTGATTTGTAAATAATAGGATTAAAGCTTTTCTGATAATATAAAAATGGGGATTTGAGTAACGAGAATATCTCCTTTCTGAGTTTCCCATTTTGTCGCTCCCTGAATAAAATTTATTGGTCCCGCCACAGACAGGTACACAGAGCCAGGCAACTGTCAACATTTCCTCCTCATCACAGGAACAGTGGAAGAAATGGAGTCATTGGAGATCATTCAACCTAGCCCAAAATTACCCAACAGAAGACAAACATTATGTTTTAAGTTAAACTTCCTCCAAGTCATACACAGCCTTGCAGGGATGACAAAGCATCACTCCGCAGAGGCTACATGTGGTAGAAAAGGGGAATCCTTGGAGAACACCCAAAGGCAAACAAGTACTTTGACCCCCAAAAACCCTTAGCCTGAAGGGGCAGCACAGGACAATACCTTGAAGGAGGCAAATAACTACAAGTCCCAGGTGTGAACAGAAGCTTTGCTGCTGACATAAATGAAGTAGCTTTTCTGCAGCACAGTGAACCCAGAAACGGTGGCCACAAAACACAGCCTGTCCTCCAAACAAAGACCCAAAAGTTATTCCATACACCCGCCAAACCCCCTGTTTATGAATGAAAACAGTTTACACATGACTCACAACTGTTGACGTTCGAACACTTCCGGAACAAGTGCTTCACTAATGAATTTTGTTCGAACCACAACGCTATAAATGCTTCACCCATGAACTACAAATATAAATAATTGCCAACAGAACCTAAACACCTAACCTAACCTATGTCTATATATGCACAATATGCTAATATATTATAATATTAATTTAGATTTGAGAACTTTCCCATTTTGAATGAACAGCATGTTAAAATTTATGAATGCGGCTGTGGGGTCGACCGCAGGATGTAATGGATTGAGTTAAGGACGGGTTGCAAAATAAGACATCCACTTCAAGACACACAAAATATGAATGACATTAAGGAACCAAGTGAGCACCAACAAAAAATTTGGAAGAGCATATACTGTACAATATCTGATCCAGCCTAAAAGGAGCTGGAGAGGAAACGGCCAACCCAAAAATGAGAAGAGGCAGACTTAGCAATGCTGCCTGATAGGCAGCAAAAGTTCAGTACTAGGAAACATGGCTCAACACAATAAGAAGAAAACAAAATAACACAAAGGAGCTAGATGAGATGAATAAATGTTGTGCAAGGTACCTAAATTGGGACGTAGAACCTCATAGTGAAAATGGAGCACATTCATTGGCATGGGTGACATCCTATGAACATGAAATGTAAAAAGGACAAAAGTCAGAGGAAATGCTAGAAGAGACCCATGGCAGTATTGTGCCATAACGTTAGACATGCCACAGGCAACTCGTGCACAAAGATGTAAAGGCACATCTCGCTATTGAAGACCATCTTTCTTGTCCCTCATGATGGTGTCAAGTCAACATCCTAACCCATGCCAGAAGTGGAAAAAGAGAAGGAGCCTGAGGATAAAAACTTTGAAAAACCTAAAGAGGAAACTTCAAAAGAGAAGAACCCTCAAGGCCAGGAAAAAGTAAACTAAGTGGACCCAGAACCAACATATGCAATGCAAGGTAGAAACTGTGATAACACTCGGGTTTACATGGCCTGGGTGATATGCAACAAACACAATGCAAGCTCCCTAGAAGGTGCACAAAATCCAAATAAGAAAGATAAAGCTGCTGAACACTGAACAGCCATACCAACACCCATAATCCAGTGGCCCCAGAATCCTGCAGAGCCAAACAACTGAAAACTTGCACAAAAGAGCTATCAAGGCAGGCCAAAATGTGGAAACCAAAGCACCAACTCTAAAGAGAAATCACTTGGGGAAACTGGAAAGGGTCAGGTATTCCGAAGAAACTTGAATTCCAGCACCCAGAAAATAGAGGGAAGGGGGTTGAATGTGACCAATTTGAAACTAGATAAACCTGAAAAGGGGACAGATTACAAGGCACCTTGGAGATCTTGGTTTGTCAAGTGAAGTGATTTATCAGTGACACATTTTAGTGATAACACAGGTATGACTTAAGAAAAATAATTACTTTAAATAATGTAGCAGAGGAAAGATAGACAGTCAAAATTTAAGTATATTCATCAGATTACTGAGGCGGGCATTTTCAACAGTTTACCAATCTAAGGATAGCACAATCCGTACACAAACTATAGTAATATAGGCTGTCACTGACCTGATAGGCGAGATGGGCTGTCTCTGATGTGGGCTCTTTATGTCCAAATCATACTGGTGAAGGCCTCTATTCTCAGTAGGCTGGGGGTTAAATGCCATACTATAGAGCTCCATAAAACAAAGCATATTTTCACAAATGGAAAAAAGATGCATAATTGTCCTATTGAAAGTCAAAGGTTTTGGCAAGCTAGGGGTAAAGTAGGAAATTGAAAAGCTCCACAAAATATTATATCCTTACCTATCTGTTCCCCATCTTCACAAATATAAAATGAAAACAAAAAAGTTCCTGTAAGAGAGACCCCTTGTAAAGTGTATAACCCAGGAGAGACACATGGAAACAGCAATGTTAAATGTTGAAAAACAGTCAGGTACTCTTATATTTGTAATTCCCAGCAGTACAATAGTAATTTCTGCACATGTACAGAGGATTGTCATAGCAGGAAAGCGTCATCCCAAGAACAGTGTAAACAGCAAAGAATATATGTGTTTAAAAAGTATATTCAGTGCTGGAAAATAGATAGAAACAACAGTTCAAACAGAAAAAAATTTGAACTTTCGAACAACAACAGTTCGAAAAACAACCTGGAACTTTATAAGACATATAAATGAGCTATTGGAGATACAAATGTATATGAAACATTATTGGAACCAAGCGGTTGGACACAGATGTGCTGCCTGTCTCATTCACTTGGTTTTGGGCAGGGTTGGAGGACTGTCCAGTCGTCGCTTGTTTGATGTGTGGTGGTGTCCTACAATAACAATAAGTGCATTGTACCCCATACATACTATAGCAGTGCTTCCTCTCTGTATTAGAAATTGATAGGCAGTTTTAAAACTAAGTTTATTTATAGAACCCTGGGTGTAGGAAGTGTTTTGTGTTATTTTGATACTTTCACTTAAGATTTCTGTAACACGTGGTCTATACCCCATCAACTGTGATCCCATTTGTAAAGTGTTTAAGTGTTAGGACCTTGTAATGCTAAAACCCCATGCTACCTTTGTAGTTACCAAGGAAGAGTGGAGTAGGGTGGCGACCTTAAGTCCCGGTTTGTGTGGATCCAACAGTCAATTCACCCCTAAGGCTTATGTTTGCTGGAAGGTATTCCTCTTGATCTCATTAATCTTATGAATTATCTAAGTACTCCCCTCCTTATCTATTCAGTCTAAAATAATCATGTGTTGTTCAATAAAACCCTGTTGTGAAATTGTAATCAAAGGTGTATTTCTTGTCCCCATGTAGAGTAAGATTGATGGTTTCAGCTTCAGTGCTTATGTCAAGTATGTATGTAACATACATACATACATACATATATACACACACACACACACACACACACACACACACACACACACACACACACACACACACACACACACACACACACACACACACACACACACACTCTCTCACTCACTCACTTACACACTCACACACTCTCACTCACTTACACACTCACACTCTGTGTATGCGGTATATATCTTTCCCATTATTTATAAGTGTAAGAACGGGTTTTGTTAGTTATACTCTAGGGTACGGCTTCCAATCTTGTGCCTTACATTCCTGTACTGGTATTACAAAAGTTTCTGTATTACAATACAAGGTATTACAAAAAATCTATAACTCCTGCACATACAGACTGGTCTCATAATGCCAAAACAATTTTTTTTCCAATTTTATTTCGAGGAACGATTATAACACTACATGAAACCATTGCATTGAAGAAAGTAAAGCTGGACACCCTCCTCCACATCTAACAGTTCTTCTCTCTGATTACCCTCTTACTGTAGTATTACTGTCTGGTCTACCTCCTTGTCTCAACCTACACATTACTCTTAGAACAAAGTAAGCTAAAACAACAAACAGATAACATAATGAGAGATATGATAACTAGATTAATAATGAATTCCTAACATTATCTAGATGTCCTCTAATCTGAACTAAACCTAAAAAAAGTTAATCAAAATACAAGACACATATACATTTCTCAAACTGCAAGTCTAGTATCAACAATGACATGTACTCTATAAAACATACTTTATATATTCTCCAGTCAGATTCTGATTCATCATCTCCTTCCTCGTCCTCTTCTAATGCTAGAGATGAATCATGAGAGCTGTGTGTGAAAGAATCTTCGCTAGTTTCTCCAAGGCTTCCTTCACATTCACATCCAGTATGATCATGTATGTGCAACCTAGATTCAGGCAGCGGTGATGACTTTTGCTTCAAAATTGAAGGAACATCTGGTAGTCTGAGTCCTCCTGCTTGTAGACAAATACAATAGTGCCAGAATGATATGACTGCAGGTATAAAGATGAGAATATAGCACTGCAGAGAAATTAACAGATTAAATATCGAGGCCATATGATGGATGTGGGCTCGATTCCATCGTATGGCCTCAACATTTATTCATAGATTCATCTTATCCTTTTAAACATAAAAATGACTTTTGCCCTCATTTGGATTTGAAAACAGAAAAAATATCCCATGAGCTTGAAGAGGTACAGAGGAAAAATGATAAGGCTTGACCAAGCTGTAGGTTATTTTTTTTTTTTTTTAGGAACAAAACTTTTTTGCACTGAATTTAAATTAAAGATTTATAAACCTTGATTAAGCACACTAATAAAATTAATAACTGACAAAATAAAAATTATAATTTATATACATACCTTCAACAATATCATTTCTCTCTTTCCCTTTCTTGCTTGGTGTCACTTTTCCAAACTTGTCATCAGCAGAAATAGTTTCAATACCACCACTAACTAAGCTGCAAGGAAAATAAATAACGCTTAGCATGGCTGGAACAGATTTGCTTGCTTAGTACACTGAATAAAATTTAAAAAATTATACTGCTAATACCCTATGGATACTGGTAATGAGGGACTGTGGTTGTAGCAGTGATTTTGTGCACATCTGAACTATACTGTGGTAGGGCTGTGGTGTCTCAATCACCCACCATTATGCAATGCAACCAGCCCCTCTTCCCCTATGATGAAAAAACAGGAGAAAAGGAGAAAACTGATGGATTATGCAATCAAATTTGTTGGTTTTTGGTCTGAGGTTGATTACAGTGATAATCTATTTATGGCTTGAATATCAGCACTGTGAATGTTATTTTTGGTAATTACCTAAGTGTAGTTACAGGATGAGAGCTACGCTCGTGGTGTCCCGTCTTCCCAGCACTCTGTCATATAACGCTTTGAAATTAATGACGCTTTTGGCCTCCACCACTGTTTTACCTAACTTGTTTCAACCGTCTACCAATCTGTTTGTGAAAGTGAATTTTCTTATATTTCTTCAGCATCTTTGTTTAGTTAGTTTAAATCTATGACCTCTTGTTCTTAAAGTTCCAGGTGTCAGGAATTCTGCCCTATCAATTTTATTGACTCCTATTACTATTTTGTATGTAGTGATCATATCGCCTCTTTTTCTTCTATCTTCTAGTTTTGGCATATTTAATGCCTCTAACCTCTCCTCACAGCTCTTGTCCTTCAGTTCTGGGAGCCACTTAGTAGCATGTCTTTTCACCCTTTCCAGTTTGTTGAGTGTGCTTCCTAAAGATATGGGCACCATACAACCGCTGCATATTCCAGCTTTGGTCTAACAAAAGTCGTGAACAATTTTTCTAGTATTTCACCATCCATGTATTCAAAAGCAATTCTGAAGTTAGAAAGTGTAGCATTGGCACCTTTGAACAATGTTCTTTATGTGATCCTCAGGTAATAGTTTTCAATCTAGAACCACCCCAAGATCTCTTTCTTTATCAGAATTCTTTAAAGATTTCTCACATAATTTATAGGTTGTGTGGGGTCTATATTCTTCTATTCCACATTCCATAACATGGAAAGATTTCACCCAACTAGAGACCAGGATTCGAACCCTCGCCACCCAAGATCAATCTTTGGCATTCAAAGTACCGTGTACCCACTAGGTGTGTGTGTGTATGTTTGTGTGTTTAAATGCTACTGTGCAAGCTTAGTTTAAGTTGATAATCTTAATTTTAATTTGGAGAGTTACAAAATCTATGGCTCAAGTTCGGGTAGTTGCTAAACAAAGGTTAATTTCTGGATGTGGTTTTAGGACTGTTTAGGTTCAGCAACCTTACAAAGAGCTATTTAATGTTACACCAGTATGGGTGACTTATATATTAGGGTTTCCTTGAGTGGTCTTAGATTTGTGAATTGCATGTGAATTCTTTTAGCAAAAGCAGACAAAGAAAAATGCTTAATGGCAATACTAACCTTTCTTCACACACACTGTTCACATGGAGTGCATGAAGTTGATAGAGTGAAGCCTCAGCCTGGTCCACAAGAAATGGATCTGGTCCAGCTCCTTCATCTACACTATTACAAAACAAGCAAACGCATTAAAGCTAGCTATGTTTAGTTAAACCCTTTCCCTCACAACAATCCAAGTAATCATCGTCTATTTTTTTTTTTCACCCAACATAATAGTCATTGGTTCAACAAGATTCATAGGTTTTTGGAGCCCCAAATTAAAAATGAAAAGACGTGATTTAAAATCTTTTAAATTACAGTAGACTCCCAATTCTGTATAGCGTGATTTAATGCCTCTCGCTTCCCAACGAGATCAATGTCAAGGCCCATTTGTCAGTTTAGTGAATAACTGCAATCAGCCTTTGCTCTTATGCTTTGTTGAATCTTTGGTAAAAAGAAATACCAACTCTCCAAACTCTCTATGAAAAACCTGAGAATTTTTGTTTTAAATATGCTCAGTGGCTGTCAAACGATCTGAACTCATTTTACCATTGCGGTCTGTTACAAAAATCCTTAAAAATGCTATTAGAGCAATAATCCAGCCCTGAAGTGCTTGCTCTGTGCTAGCAAGAAATTTGAAAGGAATTCCAAGCATCACTCTGCTAACTACTAATTAGTTCACCTAGCCACTACCCCTTACTGCCACTAGATGGCAGCACCCTACTAGACAACATATGTCATGAAATCCAGTAGCCCTCACTTTAAGCCTGGTGTCCACCCCAGTTGGTATTTCAGCTCTGTGGGGATAAATTTTCATTTAGTCCTCCTTGACAAGTTTATCACTGAAACTTGTTACTGCATAGGAAATTTATGATCTAGTATTCATTTTATGCTGCATGGTGACCCAGCTATTGTTTAAACCATTGAAAATTCTCTGTTGCAGCACTGAACATTGATTGCCATCAGCTTTACAGTTATATTTTCTGCTGCTGTTTGACATGTGCCTTCACAGATTGTCCTCATATTATTTTCTTCATTAGTTTACTGGCTCTTGTTAGAATTTGCAGAGTACAGGCAGTACTCTGCAATTTTTAGGGACAAATAATATATGAAACACTGATGTTCATAAGTCAGGGACCCTCTGTATACTCCTCTTATATCTGGGTTTTCTCTTTAGGCTTTGGCCTTGAGTTAGTGAGTTCGGTCTGGTTTTTGTTTCCCTACATTTTTCTGGATTGTGACTTCAGGATTGAGTGGTAAGGCATCCATTTCCAGACTTAAGCCTGATTCTGTAATGTGCAAATTCACGGAATGTGGTTCAGCCGTCAACAGAATCTTGCCCATAAATTGCATTGTCAATACTGAAATGTAACTTTTCGAGTGAACCCTCTGTTACTCCCATTTTCTGCCTTTCCTTCCCTTCCCCCCTAATTTTTCCAAACGTGTTAGGGTTGCCTGAGCTTCAGGCAAGGATTGCCACCTTCCCAACTCTGTTAATATGTAACTTGGTGCCATCTAATGGAGATCAGGGGTAGTGGCTGGCTATTCAGTAGTTAACTGAGCAATAATTGGTTTTCCTGTCAAATTCAACATTTCATTTGTACAGGGGAGCATTGAAAATTTGTATTTTCTAATTTATTTGATAGTGGGCTGGTCTCAAGGTGGTAGATAGAGCCTTCCCCACTCTCTCTCCTCCTCCTCAATTTACATAGCAGCACTATTAAATTAACAATAATACCTGTAATAGAGAGGGCTTTGGTCAACAAAAGCTGGCATATTTTGTGGTCTGTGTGGACCATATGGGTACACGGCTTGAAGAGATACCGAAGGATCACTAACAAACTAGTATCTCAACATCATAAATGTCATATCCTTGTTACTTTACTTACAACTCAGTAACTCCTCCAGCTTCCAGAAGAAGACCTAGGATGCAGTGGTTCTGTAAAAAATAATAATAATAATAATAATCCATGTCAACTAGCTGTGCCTTAAAAATACTAGTCCTGTACTCTGCACTATAAATATTTTACCTTAAATGCAGGAAAGAAATAAGAAATAAGTTGCTTTCAGTGTATGAGATACTAAACTGGATGAAATATGAGGTAAATATGTGAGAATTAAACGGCTAATATTACCCATTTTTCAATGAGGTCTGCTCCAGCAGAGTGCAAGAGATACATTCCAGGAAAACTTTTTGCTCATAAATCACCGCAGCAAGAATGACAATGTTTGAGAGGGGGGGCCATGGATACAAGAATATAACTGAAAAGGTGTGTAAAATATGAAAAGACCCGTGCCAACTCATTCAATGGATTTTTTTTGCGATCAACAAATATGGTTACACTATGGAATTTCATTTTAGGTGTGAATCTACTGTACACCAAAACTTATCAGTACTTTAGTTAACATTGTATGTATGTACAATACTAAATTTAATTACCAAATCCATCAGTTTATCAATTCTGACATCGTGTTTCTCTGTTTATTCTAGCCTAATATACTTGCTGTATTTCAGTAGGGAAAACATTCTAATATATGCTTTCACTTTAACTTTCCATTATATTGGTGCCTACTAATCAGCTTGTGCTTCACTCGTGTATATTCTTCTAGTAATCTTATAAACGATATTCCTCACTAAATGTTCAAACTTTTCCAAAGTATTTTTCTTACCCATTACACACTGTAATGAACTCATTCACTACATCCTTACATTCTTTTCTTGACTTTTTAACATCGGTAGTAATTCAAAAGCAAAAAATTTAACTAGTCTGTAAAAGCAATAAAACTGTCATATAGCTCTACAAATTTCTTGCATACTCCAACCTTAACCATAACTGTGTTCAAGCATGAAACCCTCTTGTCCGATTACTGTAAACAAATCCACAGGAGCCGTGATGAGGGTTCGAACCTATGTGCTGGGTGCTCCCAGGCATGCTCTAGTCGACTGTTCCACGACATGGCGCAGTCATTGATATATATCACGATAATGTGATTTCTCTGTGTAAACATTACTGTATCACATTTGGAAAACCTTAAAATCACAGAAATCATCCCCAGTAGTAAGTCTTCTTGAATACCATGGCAGGCTGAGGGCTACAGAGCATTTAACTGTAAACAAGACATGACAGGGCAAACCTCAAAGACATTTAAGATATTGAGCAAGCTAGAATATGTTAGCTTGGCTACTTCTCCAAGAGGTTTAGTGTGATGCACACATGATCTGAATATACAACAGTATTCAGAGCAACCACTTGCTCATTCTCCCTGCATCAGAGCAGTTGACTCAAAATGTCGACTCTACTTGTCATTTTCACTTGATGGCTAGGTTAACATAATGTTGCAAAACAGACGATAGTTTTATGTACCCAAAATGTAATGCTTTTACAAATTGCATGCATTAAAATCTGATCTGAATGATTTCTGAAAATATATTTATACAGTTTAAATCATTCTTGATAAAACATAATAATCTATTAAACAATAACAACCACCCTAAAAATTAAGCCACGACAAGTCAATAATACAACTCACCATTGCGACTACCAAGAGGTAATGCTTCACCCTGTCATCACGAGTGGCGTTGCTACAATCACCTGAAGGATACACACTCCGCCAGGCCACCAGTTGACTCACTGACTCGTGGGTGGTGAGAGACAGAAGTCCATGGTGACAGGTGAAGAGCCAAACATTTCTCAGGTCCTCAGATGACAAATGAGATGCTACAAGATGGCCCTAAGCCACAAGAACAAAATGATTAATTGCAGCACAGAGTTCAATATGGTAAACAAAATAATTACAGTGTTGTAAGCATCTCAAAAGTAAGATAAATTGGTGTATTATATAGCATATTAAAATAATCTTGAATCAAATTACATATAAAGGTAAAGAATGAATATCTGCACTACCTATCAAGATACAGGTACCATGCATGCTTCTGCTGTATATAAAAAAAATTAATATGAAGTCTACAATCAGTAATAAATGTATATCTTGAAAACTTTCAGCATCTAACAGTATGCCAGTTATGTTCATGCTATAATAATTTCATCCTACACATTATTTTAAATTAAATTTAAAGTACAGTACAACCTTGATTCAATGAACTGAATGGAACCAAACCCAATTCATTGTAGCAAGGGATTGGGTTGCAAATGGAGATGCATCCAGGATGCATTTCCAATGCCCTATGGGCTAATTTCACTTAGCCAAATTTTTACTTTCAACCTATAATATAATAGACAACTACCAAATGAACACATCTGCAAACAAATTTAACCACCTCTAGCTCATTTCTCATGACCCCTGCCTCAAAATTCATTTTCAAAAGGTAGTAAGGCCATACCTGACTGAACGAAAACTCCGCAAACTCAAAATGAAAGCAAACCATATAATTTGGTTTAAATATTCTCAATAGCTTTCCCAAGGATCAAACTTTTTCTTGTAATGTTGAGTCCATCTACAAAAATAATAAAAAATGTGATTGGAGCCATATTAAGAGTTACCATTCATACTCTAATATTTCTAATGCTCTATAGGCTGATTTCACTGAGCAAAATTTTATTTTCAACCTGTCATACAAAGGACAACTACCAAGAGAACATGTCTGATAAGAGGTTTAACCACGTCTAGCAAATTTCCCATACCCAAGCCTTGAAATCTCCTTTTCAAAAGAAAGAGGGCCCATAATTTACTGGACAAAATCCTCTGCAACTGGATATAAAAAAGAAGCAGAGAATTTGGTTTTAAATATGTTCGTGGCTTTCCAAAGGTCCCAACTATTTCTTGTAATGTTGCCTTCATCTGTGAACTCTGTCCAAACATCCTAAGCAAATCCACACATCCCCTGCTTTAACAAACTCTTGTTCGTTGAATCAGGTGAATAAATCCAGCAGGGAAAGTGTGTTCCAACCGGAGATACACCAAATCGAGGTTCGTTGAATCCAGGTTCAACTGTATAGTACATGTATATAGCATACCTTATAGAACACGCAGGAACCCAATATATTGTACAATGACAGTGACTCCTCATAATCCGAATCCTGAAATTCAAGCCATAATACCATACTGTAACATACAAAATATTGAATTACTAAATACACCATTGTTCACAGGTTTTAAAATAATGTTCTTTATACAAAATTTTATGAATGAAATGGATTAATAACCAGCTATTTCCAATAATTATTTTAACAAACAGAAGGTGGATTCAAGCAGAGCAGCTCTTCAAATCACTTTGGTGCATTATCAAGGTATGAGGAATGAATTCATACTCCCCAAGCCTAATTTTTAATGAAATTCAGTAGGATTGTTCTTTTACGAAAGAAATAAATCAAACATAATTGTGAGGTCACTGACATCTAATTTGTTTGAAACAGCCTAACACAGAAAACAGCCCATCCTCCTGTTTTGGCAGTCCTTACAGTAATGATGAGGACCATAGAACATATAGCGATGTACAATGCAATTAGAAAGTAGAAATTGGTACTACTGATTTGGAACAAACCAGAAAAGATTTTATATTTATGTTGCAAAGACACATTAAACTAACCTAACCTAACCTTCCTAGGCCTGATATAATAAATGAGTGTGCTATACTAGACCTAGGAATATTTAAGTTTGTTTTTAGCTTCATTTTTTGGGGGGGACTGTATTAAGTGAATAGTACCCAATTCTACTCTCTAATTACTTAGTATGCCAATCTTTGTACAGTATTATGGTGCACATTGTTACAAAAACTACTATCTAAAACAGGAGTATGGGTTGCAGAAAATGCATAGGTAAATTGAAACAAGAAACCATTTTCCAAATTTGAGGAAATCTGCACAAATCAAATGTTTGACAGGTTTTGACTAAAATACAGTACTATGATAGAGGTTTGAAACTCTACTGACCAAATATATTTTGTTAGTCCAAACTCTAGCAACCAATAATGAGATATTTGTAGATGCCGAATATTTTGAATACTGATGATGAAACCTATGAAAAGCAGCAATAATTCTACACACAAATAGCTACCCGAGATGAATTGAAATAACATTTATGCTTACATCATCACCGAAGTCCCCAGACTCCAGCTCACTGAGGCAGTTGTCAATCTGAAGCTGCAAAATTTAAGTTTTAATATTTATTTATATCGTCTATTTTAAATTTATTCTTAAGTAGGCATATTACTTGATTCTAATTACAAGTGTATCCAAAAAAAATGCTAAGGTATTTGTTGGTAAAATTATCAGTAATACTGACAATTTTACCAACATGCCAACATCAAAAAGCTTGATGTAGGGATTTTCATGTACCACCCTCATTTCAGAGCATGAAGTTGAATACATTTGATAATATAACAGTAAGGAAATGGAATACGAGTGGTGCTCATATTCAAATAGAAATTTTGCAAATTGGAACTATATATATTAACAATCACATACAATATACACAAATACAGACATGTATGAATAGATACAGTAAGTGCAAACATACATTCACACAAAACAAATCTAAAATCATGTGAAATGATTTAAATTTCTGTATGTAACTATATGTTGAAATTGTTTATACCATATAATATCAGAACACTGTACTGGTGTCTGACAGGCAAAATGCCTTAGTGGTAGGGACTAAAGAGATTTTGAGGCAGGTAACAGCAAGGTGATATTAGATATATGATAACTAATCCTTAACAATTGCACTATGAAGTTTTTGCTGAAACCAAGTGTGTGGTGCTGTGGTTAAGGCAGAGTAGTAATTGGGAGGCAATTTGTGCCTCCCAAACATGCACGGGGTGAGGTAATAAAGTTGAAAAGTTGAGTTGAGACTTAGTTGCCCAATGAGCACACAAGAAGAGCTGATAGTGCTCCTGAGGAAAACAGACTTTCCAAATATGGGAGACATATAAGAAAATGTAAGATGAATATACAGCAGGTGTGGTGGAGTGCAAACTGGTAGAAGATTGAGAGGGAGTACCTGGTGAGATAAGGAGCAAGGGCAGTTGACAAATGAAAGAAGCACCCAGCCCGAGAAGAAAGTGGTAAGAACGGCACCTTGCTCGACTGGAGCAAGATCAGGTTACCTTTGTTTCACCACCATCTTGTAAGATAAGCCATGATGGGTATGCAAAGATAAAACTCTGGGGAGTAATAGGTATCAGAGGTAGGTAGGGATTAAGTTTTGCTGCCAACTGTTTTCCCGTTAGTTCACTCTCGAGTCGTCCAGGATCCTTTTGTTCTCTTGGGCCTTGACCAAGTACTGTACCCAGTATATGGCTCATCAGGTGATCCAAGTAAGCCTTGTTCTTAGCATTACCAACTCCCCTGAAAAGTATATAAACTTATCTTAAAAAAAAAAAAATGTTGTGATACAGATAAGAATTATGCTTAATACTCTACCCCTAAACTTGAAAACACTTTACTATTCAAAATATTATAAATCCTTTCAGTTATAACAATTATAAAAACAAAAACTGTACAGTAATTCAAGGTAACTGGTTGCCCAAAAAACTGCATTATGCTACATACCATTAAGGAAAGAGAAAATTATGTAAACTGGAACGAGAACTGCGTTCCCTCTATTGGCGAAAAAAAACAAATTGCAGAACATCTCAAACATTCCACTCCATCCCAACAATGACAAGGAAGGCTATGCAGAGAAATATAAATGAGTGTGCTCAAGCTGCAAGAATTATATAAAAACCAGAAGGAAAGAGAGCAGAGACCATATGTGAAATAGAGGAATCCAAAATATTACATCTGTGCAAAATCTAGAACAAGAACTGCATCTAGCAATGGGCCCTTGCACAAAGGTGGGGAACTTTCACAGATGATGACAAAGAACTAAGTGAAATACTGAGGCTACAGTACAACTCTATTTTCAGTGAAACCCTGAATACAATGAAGATCAAAGATCCAAACAAATTCTTATTCCATTCAAGCCAGCTTTGAGATGTTAATTTCAAGTTTCATTTGCCATTGTTGTATGTCGGATGGTACATGGGAGAGAATGTTTAGGTTAGTGTACAGAGAGAAGCCTTCCCATGCTTTTGTGTAGCCTCTCTCCACCCTTCGTCACTTAGAAGAGAACTAGTTCTGATCAAAGTTGGTAGTGTGTTTTGGGCTGCACAGTGACATACCAACCTCACTTATGAGGGGTTTAGCTTAGAGTAAACATTATGGGCAAATTAATAAATATAACGTGTTGTTTGTGTCCTATTTCGTGTCTTTTAAATAGTGTACATGTGATGGTCACATATAATTAGTTCTTTTGAATCCCCCAATTCAAAATACTTGTGTGTACAGTAATATATTTGAATTCCCTTTTGAATTTAAGTGTGATTTAACTTTACAGTGTTTCTTACTATAAATTACTATAATTTAAATGTAAGGAATATCCCTACTACACCCACTTCATTAGGATTCTCTCCCAGTGGCTCACTACTTGCATAGGAGGCTCCACTCAGTCCATGTCAATGTGAGCCTGAAGGTAGATGATGAGTCACAATGTGGCTGAAGATATGATGGCCAAACCACACAACAGAAGATGGAGATACAACGACGTTTTAGTCCATCTTGGACCATCATCAAGCCGTATGTGATGGGAGAGAGGAAGGGACGGGCAATAAATAAGGAAAGTGAGGTGAGGAGCAGGTAAGAGAAGAAGTTAATTCTGAGAAGGTAAGAGTAAGGCGAAAGTAAGAATAGGACGAGTGTAATAATGAGATGAAGGAAGAATGGGATAAGTTAAGAATAAGAGGGTGAGAAAAATAAAAGGGGTAGGCTTAAATCAGGTCATATTTGTTAAGAAGGTTAGAGCATTTAAGTTTGCATTGTGAGCCTGAACTCTGCTGATAGCTTTTCTTCTGGCTTCTCAAGGTTTTGTCCTCCGGGCAATTCTGGAGAGCCACTTAGTAACACACTGTACCCTGTACCTAGCTCCTGTTAGGATTAAGTGGGTCTTAAAAACCTGGTGCTATTCCCTAATGCTTGGCAACTCCAGTGTTTTACCAGAACAGAGCTACTGAGCAGCCTGCTAGACAAAGTTTTTATATTACTGTACTTTCAAATCTTGCCTCCTGGTGTTGGATTGTCCCGTTTCTCCTTCTGTTGGAAATGTCCCACACAGCGGTATTGTTTTGGACAGTCTAGATACTTTCATTTAAAATTGTCAGTGGTCAGAATATTATTAACATGGTACATTCAAATTCCTATGTAAAGTAGCCAAGATCTGTAGCTATACCTTGGCACACTTCCAATGAATTTACCTTCTAGTTTTACTCAAATATTTTGTCCAAAAGCATATGAAACATCCCCATTGCAGACTACTGTTTTAATAAATCATGACCAGAGACTTACTTGGACAGTGTATCAAATTCAAATCTAATAAGGCTGGCAATCTGCTCCATCAGTGCAACAATATCGTGACTGGATACACTGAAAATAAATAAAGTTAGTGTCATAAATAATATTCCAGTTTATGGTATTTCAACAAGCCATTCACATATTTTTTTAAATACTGTACACAGTACATCCTTGGGTCAATATGAAAAACACCTTCCTGAACACAATCAGTCAGATGCTCCTCATTCCCTAGGGTAGGTATCTGCTGTCTTATAGAATGAATTTATAATATTCAGTGAGGCAGATCGATATTCTAGGCATTAGTGCCAAAAGAGGCCTGCAATACAAACCATCTTTCAAGTTAACTGAGAGCAGAAATAGTAGGAGCTTCCCATTGGCAGGCACATACGTAAGATCAAGAGAGCTTTCTCGGCATTTGTTTAAAAACAGGCAAGAGCTTCCCATTAACAGGGACATACGTAAGATCAACAGAAATCTCTCAGTCCTTGCTTGAAAACAGGCTCTTCTAAATATCTGCTATCCTATCTAGACTGATCTTTCTTCAGTGTTCCTAGAGTTAAACTTAACTCTTAAATTGAACAGAACGGAAGTTCGTTCTCTGAAATACTGGACCTTCTGAATTGAATTATTTAATAAATAAATCAACCTCCTCCAACTTTAGAATTATGTAAAATTATAAAGGATTACAGACAATTTGATATTTAACAAAATATAATTAAGTTACCCACATAATCCCCACACATGTTGCATCAGTGCTGTATGTTTTTACTGCCTGATAGATCATGTGGCAACTGTGCCCTATGATTTTCTTGCATGATAAATCATGATCTAAGGTAAGGTGATGTGGATCACTATACATCTGGGAACAACAGAATAACTTACTCAGAACGTACCCTTTCATAAACTAATATAAAATAGTTTTACACAAATTCTGAGAATACTTACTAGGAATGTGGCAGTGCTAGGAGGAAAACATCATTATTCTCCCTAACATAGGCCACATGGTAGTATTCACCGTCTAGACAAACAGTGGAACTGGGGAAAACAAAACAGAAATGTTGAATACTTCGCAAAAAAAAAAAAATGAATACAACAACAGTTTTCTTTGTAAATAAAATAATAATTGCAGTAATACAAAAAATAAACCAAGAATATGCATGCTGACCATGATGCAAATATCAAACATTGAATGTAAAGAAATGCTCTACTTTGGTGGGCCCACAGTAGTCCCCTTCCCCCCTTCCACCTGAACCTTTCATGCTGGTATAGTTAGGCCATAAGAATCACACCAGACCCCTTGAGATCTATGCTGGCCTCCTGTAAGTCAAAGACCAGAATTTGGCTCTCCCCACAAGGCTAGGAAAGTTTAGAGTTCAGAGATCACACAAAACCAAGAAAAATGTACCAAAAAGATTAGGCAAAATAAAACAATCACTTCACAGGTAAGGTAATTTTCCTGTGGCAACAATCATTTGCCTAATTTACATTAGGGCTATTTATTTTTTTGCAAATAGTCACTTGGTTTGTTGCATCTAATGTTTCCAGTGCTTTAATTTCTTGGTTTTGGGTAGCTCACCAATTCAGAGGCTACTCTTTCCCATTAGAGAGTACCAAATTCTGGTCCTGGCTGTACAGTACCAGTACTGAAGCTTGGGGAGCTACTCAAGGGGTCCTCAAAATTTCCTGTAAGTGAAAATACTACTACCATACAGACTTTCCACACTGATCAAAATTAGAGTGAACCCACTCATGACGATCAACTCACCAAAGTGCTGGAGCTCCAACCACCTCCTGAACAGTATGAGCAGTAGTGATGAACATTCCTCGCACCTTCACTAATTTGTTACTCCAATTTGGAAACTGGTACCTAAAACCCATCAAAACATCTATGTAAATAAAAATGTAAATGTTCATTTGTTCAAAATCGCTAATCTCCAAAAGTTTCTTCACCGATTGCTTTGAAATCTTGACACAACGTTCCATTCGCATATGCGTGTGTTTTTATATACCTACTATATACAGTAGATATAATGTCTGTGACAGGTAAAAACATGCTTTTTTGAAAAACTGTGTTTTTCATGTAAGTTTTCAAGTGAGGGGAAAATCTCTGAAACCTCTTTACCAATTGCTTTGAAATTTTGACACAACCTTCCATTCAAATATGCCCGTGTTTTTATATACCTACTATATAGATGACACCTGTGACAGGAAAAAACATGCTTTTTTAAACAGCGCTATTTATTGGACGTAAAAGCAACATACGCTATAATAAATATGTTACGATTCCATTTCAATGTTTCCAAGTGCATTGATAAATTAAATTTTCAAAGATTTTTATTTATTTTCATTTTGATTTAATTATTTTGTGTGACATTGCATTGGAATTGAGCTGTGTTGTTTACCATACAGTTGATTTCGTGGGTATAATTTATTTCTTAATTTTTTCATTGTTTTTACTTAATTTTTTAACTGTTTTTCTTATTTTTTAGTGACGGGAACATCAGATCCTTTGACGTTCCCATTTTTCTGATGGGAATATCAGATCATTTGGGAATGCATCGGACGAGGGAGTGGGGAATGGTGGGGAGGACAAGGGGACGGGGAAGGGGGGTTAATGGTGGGGAGGGGGAGGAGACGGGGGAGTGGGAGATGGTGGGGGAGGACGAGGGGACCAGGGAGTGGGGGGATGGTGGGGAGGACAAGAGGACAGGTGAATGGTGGGGAGGACAAGAGGACAGGTGAATGGTGAGGAGGACAAGAGGACAGGTGAATGGTGGGGAGGACAAGAGGACAGGTGAATGGTGGGGAGTATGAGAGGATGGGGGAGTGGGGGATGCTGGGGAAATTAAAAAATTGATGTTTTGATACTTACTGGATGAATGGAATTACTTTTAAATTAACTTCATGAATTGCAAGGGAAAAATATTTACTCACAAAAAAATGCACATCAGATCATAGGTGAAGTCCAAAGCCATTCAAGATCTAAGTCTCAGAATTAATTAAGCGAAAATATATAAAATACACAGGACGCGAAAATAAAATAAAGTACGAAATGAAACAAAAAATATGGGCAGAGTTACAGACCACTGTACGGGCTGGTAGAGATTCTCAACATTGCTGCAACACTCACCTGATGTCAGCACCATCAGGAGAATCCTCAGTAACACCCACAAGGCTCAGGTACAGGAGGGTATGCGGCAACTCTTGCAGATATGATGGATCTGGGCTGTTGACTTCCACACCTGTTACCACTTTCACTAATTGAGTTTGTGTTACTCTCTGTCAAAGGATTTGCAAAAATGTAAATTATAATAAATTGGCTACAGTAAAATACAATTTTATGACTAAGAAATATAGTTGCATAATACAATATCAGGCATGGAAACCCTTTTCCAGTCTTAGGGCCATAACAGTTACTGTTGAATTAGCTGCAGGTCAGAGACAATAAAATACTGTAAGATTAATGATACTGTAAGATTAATATGTGTTTGTAATTTTAACAATAGATTATTTCATGTTACTGGGAGCCAGAAAGCCTGTTAAGCTTATAGAGAAACCCCAGAGCCAATCGCTGGCCATTTCCCAGGATGCAATCTATAACAGATGACTAACTTCGGGGTAACTATTTGCTGCTAGGTGAAATAAGGCATCATCAGATATTCCTAAACATCTTGCTCTTCATGGAAATTGAGCTCATGACCAATCCATTGTGAGGTAATTGCACAAATCTCTACAATACAGATAAATACTTCTATTCCAACTAAACATTCCTACTGTTGTTCCTACTCCATGTGGTAATATACTGTACAGCTTACGATGATTAAAGAAGCCATAACACCTTTTATGAAATAAATGTCATATGATTTAATATTCCATCATAAACAAACAGCTTTGAAAAATACTAAACAAAATATCACCACGCTGTTTGCTTAACAAAAATGTCGTCAGCTTGATCTAACCTGCTGGCTGGAAGTTCTCCATGCCTGGGATAAATGAACTAACAAGAAACAAAAATAATTCAGTTCTTAAAATTCTCCATAGTTCAGATGAAGTACAAGAGGCTTAATATGCAAGCTATTGTATTTTATACTATATTTTCAATAATTTACACTTTGAATATTTATTTTTCATATCCAATAAATGAATTTTTAAGATTCAAGCTGAATAAATATCATCTTTAAAATGGTTAGGACCTACCGTATAATATAAAGAATTTCTCATGTTTATCAAAAAGGGTTCCGGTACTACAGTCGGGTTCATTCTCGACACACAATCGAGAATTTCAGGTTCAAATCCCAGGCGGGAGAGAAATGGTTGAGAGCATTTCCTTCACCTAATGTACCTGTTCACCTAGTATTAAGTAGGTACCCACGAGTTAGTCACCTTGTTGTGGGGTTGCTTCCTGGGTGGGGTCAGTAATTTTACTTTTATATAAGGCTAATATGTATGAATACGCTCTGGCTGCCTGTCCCCCGACCCAGTGAATTATTATTATTACTTCTTAAAACATATTTACCTTACGGTCATTTTCCAACTCATCAGGGAGGGTCTCTGAGGCACACTTTTGCACTGACAAGGTAATAGTCGAAGGTATCTGTAAGAAAAATCCAATTATTGTATTTTATTAAAACTATTAAAATAATTGTCCAAAGTTATTATAATTCTCTCAAGTTATTTCTAATGTACGAACACTGACATAAACTGCTTTTTAATTTTTGCCAGTATGTCAGCAAGAAATTATCCAATTGGTGGGTCAGTCCAAACCAAATATAAAACATGTCCCAATTAACACTTTCGCTCACCCCGCGCGCCACCCCTCGACAGGGCGATATGGGCCCCAGAGTGTCACGGAAGCGCGCGTTAATTCCGAAAAGTGTATACTCTCTTCAACTTTGTCACCTCAATTCTCCTTCTACGAGATTAAATTTGGTATCATTGTGTTCGCAATAAAATTCTCTACAGCACTAAATGCATATAAACTCCAAAAGCCCGGCTAATTATCCGCAGCAAACAGAGAAAGTGCGAACGAGTTACCCGGGAGCGCGCAAACGGGATAAAATGTTTTCACTATTTTCACTCTGGTCACCTCAATTTTTGTCCTAGGTCTTTCATTTTGGTCTCAATGGGTTCGTAATAAAATTCTCTAGAGGAACATTAGCCTATAAAAAAAAAAACCTGGTCACGCTCCAACCGCCGACGAGTTGAAGACGGGCCACGTGTTAGCCGTGAGTGAGTGCTCAGAGGCCTTCCTGCTACACTCCCAATTCCTACCCTTTTCAAGCCTTTCTTTCGCAATTTTCTTCCTGGAAGGGCCTTGTTCATGATTACTATCCATCGTGGAGTAAGCGTAGATAGTTTCTAAAGCCGCAGTAAGAAATATAGCCACGGAAAATAGCCGAAATGTTCACACGTTTGAGATGCGAGGGGAAGCGACATTGGTCACAACAGTGTAGCAAAGACAATGGGCCCACGGCGTGTGCCAAGCAGCCTGAGGGCGACGAGGCTCAACAAAGAAAATGGGAAGACATCGGCGCACATTTTAAAACCAGTCCCCAAAAAATCGGATAAAAACCTGATTTTTGGCGAATTTTTAAAGTGGATGACACAATGCTGCGTCATCCCCGGCATTACCGCCAGTAAACGGATGACGCAATGCTGCGTCATCCCCGAGCGAAAGTGTTAAGCAAGTCAACCATGCACAAGGATATGCTCATTATAATAATAATAATAAGCTGGCATGCACCAATGAAAAACACAAGTCATATCAGCAACACACACACATACACCATGGGAAAGATGCATATAGTGCCCTCATGGAGACATGCATCAAAGACCAGGAAACCAGTCTCTGACCCACTTGACTTGAAGCAACCATAAAAGTGACCACAACAAGCTCGGAGAGAGAACCACAATACTCAGGTCCCCAAACCCAGGGTCGAACCTCAAAGTTGGAACCCAGTTGATAAATGCAAGTATTTGTTATACAATAACCAAAATTCATAAAATAAGGAGGAGAAACTGCTAGGTTATCCAAGGTTAAGCAAAAACGAAACAGAAAAAGCCACACTACATCTTTAATCACAACCTAAAAGGTTAACAGCCATCACACACACTTGTAAAGAAAATGTGAAGCAACTGTCTAAGTGTGAATGTACATCAGTAAGGTCCAAGTTTTCAGTAAAGGGCCTTCTTCCTTGGCTGAAGGAAGGGGGCAAGCAGACTCTTTATGAGACCCACCCTGCTTATGAGACTCTTCGCTTATGGGAAGGGGGAAAGCAGGAAAAAAAAAATCACAGATGTTCAATATCAGAACCATGATACTCTTCTTTATAGAAGAGTAAAGGCAACTTAAGAAACACCTGGCAACATCGTGAGCAGTGTGGCAGAAGGAAGGCTGAAGAAGGATCACGGTCTACCCCTGACACAGATCACACATATTAAGGTGAAAGCAATCCAACACCCAACAAGAAGACCTCCAGAGGCAACAGGAGTAGCCATCAGATACACAGAATAAGCCAGCACCTTGGAGTTCTTGGAACTTTAGTTCTCTCTTAGAGAAAGTTTTGAGTGCATTATTATGTGAGGAGGCCTAGTGCAGAAATTAATAATTATATCTCTACAAACAGAATAAGAATCTAAGTAACCTGTAGCTCTGCCAGTATATCATCCAAATTATCCCAAGTGACATCAGTTTCATCCACCTCTTTCAACCAATCACCTGAAAAAATTAAAAAGATAATAATTAAGTTAGCTACATATACTGTAAACATAAAATATGGGATGATCAAAACTTCATTAGTCATGTAAATATTGCACCAACAAGAGAATTCTTCATTAAAAGATTTTCTTCTAATTAGCACTTCATCCAATTGATCAATCATAAAATTTGAAGTTATTTATAGTCTTCAATTTAACTTATTCAACTTTATTTTATTTATTTAACTAACCCTTTAACTTATTCAATGTTCATTTTCTGCCATTTTTGGTTCTCATTTCATCCTTGAGAATTCTATGATATACCCAGGAGATTTCATACTCTTGCAAATATACAAATTATACTCGCATAAATTACACAAGCAAAGGCAGGTTTGTTTAAGAATGATGTAGGGAAAGTAGAAGTTGCAGAGGCAGTGGCATAACCAATGAGGTTTTGATATTTTTACCACAAGATCTGGTTAGCACCTCTGTGTGAGATTCCCAGGTACCTAGACAAAGCTATTTCAACAGGCTCATCATGTGCAAGGAAACGGGCCCAAACATCTCGTCTTGCCCAGGAACTGAACTAGGGACCATTCCACTGTTAACTGATATTTCTAACCACTATACTACTGAGTATAGAATGAATGCTGAGATGTTGGAATGTGAGGTGTGCCAAGTATATTTGGTAATGGAAATTTCTTGAGGATATGTGTTCGGAGAGAAGATTGTTTCAGTCAAATACTTTAACTGAGCATATATTCATACAGAAGTATACAGTATATGAAAGCAAAGGGAAAAAGAGAGAGAGAAAAGGAGAAAAATAATTTGATTGATTATATATGTGAAGAAAGAAGATGTAAAAGTATTGTGATAGGTGCAGGGGTTGTAAGAAGAATGTTTGTGAAATCAGATCATTTTGCAGTTTAGAGCTATAAAGATTAGAGACAAATGGATCTAATATGTTAAACTAAATATTTTAGCAGTACATATGCAACAGTGATTGACAAATGACAGCTCATACATGTACAGACACTCTTATTATACATTCATACTGATAGTGAAAATGTTCAGTGTTATTGTACAAATGTGTACACGAAGAACAAGGCTCCAAGCCATATTATTATTATTATTATTAATTATTTTTATTGCAGGAAATGTGAGAGGTGATAATATAAAAGAATATGCAGAAATTAGCAATGCCTACTGTACATGATTTGGAAGAGTTTCAGCCTTACCCACCAAACTGGTTAGTAGAGTAAAACAAAATTTTAGAAAATGGTGGAGGTACATTATCTTCTAATCATAGTTGCTCATTCACTTAATTAAATAACAATAAATCCATGCTTAAGATAAATTCCCTTCATATTTAGAGTGAATTACCAATTTTGATGACACCATTTCTTAAAGCTTGCGAGCCTGGTACAAGACCAGCAACCATAACTCGAGAATCTGGGGTTTCGCTGAAACGGCCTGGGACCACACCAAGAACCGTCTCGCAAAGACTTGCTCGTCGCCCTAAATTGTTACCACCTTCATACACCTGCAATTGGAAATCAAAGGAATAACATGATCATACAATATTTCCGCACTAATTCATTTGCACATTTCCTAGGACAAGATACAGTATATTCTGGTCTCATTGAAAAGGATCATAACAGTCTGGATAAGTGACATTCTGCACCAGTGCAACATGGATCTTTTCGAATGTCTTCGACTTACGGCTGAAGATTCCCAGTTCAATCCATGGGTGGGACAAAAATGGCTGGATATGTTTCCTTTCACCTGATGCCTCCATTCACCTAGTATAAAGGAGGTACCCAAGAGTTAACCGAGTTTATCTGAAAACTACTAACACTAGTGGCCCTCGACAAAGACAGGAAGCCGGCGGTTGTCGAAGGCCCCCCCCCCATTTGCCTTTATAATCTTTTCCAGCTGTACTTTTAAAAGTTAACAGTTTTGGCATTTATGGCTTTGGCAGGTAGGCAGTTCCATGGGTTAATAATCCTGTGGGTCGAAAAAGCATCTCCTGTTTACAGTTCTACATTGTGGCTTGTTGAGCTTGAAATGCTCCTTGCTCCTTGTTTGTGTTACATATGACCTTTTGAAGAAAGGTCTATTATTGTAGGTTGCATCATGAGGAAGGTCAGTAACTGACCTAGTGGGGCTTTTGATAAGCCTAAGCAAAGGCTACATTTATACTGGCATATACAGTACAGTATACAGGTATACTGGTGCTAAAAAGGCACTGGAGGAAAACTCAATCTAGCTCATAGTGGCATTTAGAAAATTCACTCAAACAATCAAAGCGCTTCCAAATACTTGGCATCAAAGAAACTACTGAACAGTGCTCATGCTGACCACTAGTTAGCCTCCCTGGTTGCTACCTCGGACTGCCATCAGATAGAAGCACCAACACCAGTTTTTCCTGCCTCAAGCTTCTTAACAATCTTCCTGACAGGTTCTCATGCCAGCATGACTGAACAGAAATGTTCGAAAAGGATAAACGTTATGTAGCAGCAGAAGCCGTCATCCCTTGACTGTCACGAGCCTTCTCAACGAGACCTTTAAGGATTTTGCTCTTGGGGACATCACACAGAGCACTGTAGCTCAGAAAAAAGGAACAGACTATTAATATGTGAAAAGTATAGCGTTCATATATGGAACGCCAAATAATTTACCAGTCAGGCTGGTGGAATACCTCACAACCTACCAGTCAGGCTGATGGGATGCCCCACAACCCACCAGCCAGAGCACCACTTATCTGGAATTGAGCATCACTGGAATTGAGCATCTACTATAGTAGTAAAATAATATAGTACATAAATTAATGCACGAAGCCACAAATGTACCAACCTATCAATTGTAACCTGAAAACTCTATTCAACATTGGCAGGAAAACGTGAAACATGGAATGAGACCAGTCAGTTCATATAATGGTCTTCTTATCTTGAATTTTTTTAAATTTATTAACTACCTGTATATTAACCTTTAAATGGTGTGCATGACAAAATAGTCGTTATGAAAGTAATTAAGAAAATTGCATTCATCGATTCAAGCAAAGGAGGTACAGTATATCACAGCTTGCAATTGGAGTCATTTAAGCATAATAATGTGGGCTGAATTGTACTTTTATCCATCACTAATGTTTGAATCGCTCTATTAAAAACTATGAACTATATCCATCTATAAGAGCATATAATGCAGGATGAAACCTACCTGCAGATTAACTTTCCTTACTTCCCCACTTGGATTATCCCTGAAGGTCACTTTTGGGGGAGAGGTTAGGTCAGATCCACCCTTTGTCCCTCCTTCTCCTCCACCCCCAACTCGATGAGTGCCCTTAACTCTTACGCTTGGTCTACGTTTTAGCAACCTTAGTAGCTTATCTGAAAAGTAGACAAACTAAGTTCTATAAAAAGGTAAATTTTGAGCAGGCTCACTTCATTGCCTTCTAAGCATAGTCTGCCGTTTATGTATAATTAAATAATGTGGAGAGGTACTCATCATACCAGTGCTCCATGTAAGTTTTCAAACATGTAACTTTTCACAGAATCCTACTGGTAATGGGGAGCACTGAAGGATATCATCCATCAAAAGTGTGTTGTAGAATTTTCACATCATACACTCAAAACTATTTAAAAGAATTCCCCAGTGGCCACGAGATCACCAAGCAGCTCCTTAGCAAACAACTGTAAAAGTTGACTCATCAGCCATCTAACCTTCTTGCAGACAATGAGTCACAATAACGTGGCTTGAAGATATGAGCACTAAACCACACACCAGAAGATGAAGAGGCAACAACATTTCATTCTGACCGGGACCATTATCAAGTCGATTGTGATGGGAGCGAGTGAGGAACGGGCAATAAGTAAGGCAAGAGAGAGGTGAGGAGCAGGAAAGAGGAAATTCCTAGAGGAAGGTAAGAACAAGAAAAAAGGTACAGATGGGATGGGTGTAATAATGGGGTTCAAGAATGGGAACGTAAGAATAAGAGTATAAAGAAAAAAGAAAAAGAAAGAGAAAAGGGGGGGTAGGCTTGTCAGGTCATGTTTGTTAGAAAGGTTAGAACATTTGAGTATGTATTGTGAAAGGGAAGAGTCAACAGCAACAAAGCCAGGACTAAGGTTCATGTTGGGTATGTTGTGTATCAGAGCCGATTTGACAAGACGAGAGCATTGTTTGTGTCTGTAGACTTAACACTTGTGTTCCTTAAGTCTGTCATTCAGTGTACGGCCAGTTTCTCCAAAGTATTGGATAGAACAAGGTGAACAGGAAATAAGAGTAGACACCAGTAGCAATAGAAACAGTGAGAACCAGATTACTACGGAGCGTTACTTTGTCGAAAGGTTAGCTTTATGGCAAGAGGACGAAGGGTATTAGTGAGATTTTGGAGTTCAAATATGAAGGGAAAACAGAGCACAGTTCTAATAGTGTTGGAAACAGGTTTGGGATGAAAGAAATTTCGTTTATCTTGAGAATTGGCACAGTTGATAAAATGTAAAATTCTCTCACTCCAAGGTGAGACAAAGATTTGTAACTAAAGGAAATTTCAGACTCAAGAAAATGAGGGTCACTGATGCATAGAGCAAGAAGGAAGAGAGAGACGAGAACACATTTCTTAACAGGAGGAAAATGGTAGGAAAAGAAGTGAATGTACATACCACTATGCATGGGTTTGCAGTAGTCAGAGAAAGATAACCTGGACACAGAGCGGTGGATATGAACATCAATAAAAGGAAGGAGGGAATTAGATTCCCATTTAACCTTGAAATGAATAGGAGAAAGATTATTAAGAGTGGAGAGGAAAAGCTGGAAATAACTAAGGTAATGAGGCCATAAAGCAAAATAGTCATCAACATAGCAAAGCCAGAGAGAGGGACAAGTATCAATAGTGGGAAGAACAGTTTAAAGTATTCCATACAGAGATTGGCAAGAATAGGGGGGAGAGAGGGGAACCCATAGCGACACCGAAATTTTGAGAGAAGTATTTTCCATTGAAAGATAAGGAGTTAAGAGTCAACACAGAGTCTGATGAGTTCAAGAAAAATGTCAGTGGGAAGCAGGAGATGAAGAAGGCCCTCATTTGCCTTATGACTAAGGAAAGAGAATGTCATCAAGGGGAACATTGGTAAACAGAGAGTTGACATCAAGACTAAGCATCTTACAGGAGGGTTGCAGGCGCAATCCTTCTAAGAAGTCCTGAGAGTGACGAAGTTGGGCAGGAAAAAGTGTCAAAATAAGGAGTCAGAGTTTTGGCAAGCCAGGAGGCAAGAAAATAGTTGACAGAGCCTCTTGAAGAAATGATAGGATAAAGAGGAACACCAGGTTTATGAGTCTTAGGTAGACTATAGAGAGAAGGATAGATAACCCGGAAATGTTTTATTAAATCGAAGTCAGGAGGACAAAGACTAGAGAGCTGTCTTAGTTTGCTATTGAAGGACGTTTTAAGGCGATCCAAAGGGTTAGAAGCCAGAGGAGCATATGTGCGAGAGTCAGAGAACAAGACATCAGCTTTCTGGAAGTAGTCCACATGGTCAAGGACAACAAACGAATTGCCTTTATTGGAAGGAAGGATAAGAATAGAGTTGTTAGCTTTCAGGGAGGCAAAGGCAAGCTGGAAGCAACGAGAAAGGTGGTGATTTTTTAGAAAACAAACTGTCAAGAACAGGGATAAGGGGCCCCCCGTGAAGGCAGACAGGTCCAAAAGAGTACTAGAGTTAGAACTGACAAACTTATCAAAGGAACTAATGAGGTCAATGCCACAATGAGGATCTAACCCTCTTGCCACTAGAGCTTACGGCACTGGAATCCAAGGGCCATAATCAGTATGCCAAGATTCTATGACTATCTTGACTTGCCCAATATCTTTCCTACTCTATGTAGGAAAGGAGCATGTTGCAAAGAAAAATAACCCACTACTGAAGTGTACAGTCTGAAAAAGTCCAAAAGCATGTCACAAAATACAACACAACATCCCTGCCATGTTGTACTATCTCAACAGTTTTAATATTATCTCAATCAAAATGGTATATATTTACAATATGGTGTACAATAACTCCTGTGTAATAACGAGTGTAAATAGTTTCACACTGCTTCATGTAAACGCACTTGCTGCATGCTGGCGGAGGTGACTACATCAGCTACTGAGGATGATTTTTGCGGACATGCCAGACCAACACTAGTGGCAAGAATTTTTTTTTTTTTGAGATATATACAAGAGTTGTTACATTCTTGTACAGCCACCAGTACGTGTAGCATTTCGGGCAGGTCCATGGAATACAACCCCCACGAAGAATCATTTTTACAACCAAGTACCAGTACCCATTTTACAAGTACTGTAGCCTCTGTTGAGTTAAACAGAGGCTACAGTTAAGGATTTGCACCCAGTAAATCCTCCCTAGCCAGTATACGAACCCAGGACAAAGCACTCGCGAAACGCCAGGTGAGTGTCTTGCCACTACACCATGGAGACTGGAGATGTTTAATTTTGTTTAATATATTTCCCAGTTTTTAAATTACGTACTGATTGAAACTATCACTAATAATGAGGAAAATATTTTATTTTTATTGTTAATGTGTTTAAAACATGTATAATATGATAACTGCAGGTGAAGGTTAAATAATAATAATATTACTCAAAAGACATCTAACTCAAAAGCCTAAGAAAAGTTAGTAGTTATTTAAAAATAAAAAATAAAGACTCATGCTTACTTTTCTTCTTGATTTCTTTGGAAGGAGATGAGAAAGCTGGTTTCTTTTCAATCCCTCCAGATGCTTTAAGAGCTTGCACTTGTTTTTCTCTAACTGTGCTTGAAACATAAGACTCCACATAAAGAAGGGAACCATCATTTTGAACATGCTTCAGCCATTCTGCATCCTCATACCTATGATGCATAGCCATATATTCAAACATTGCTAAATAATTATATTGAAAAAGCATTTAAAACCAAAAAATAATTAAAACGGATTGAAAGCAACATCAGGGAAATCTTGAACATGAAACATGTACAACTACAGATCCAGAAATGCACACATGAAAATGCCATGGTTGACCTACAAGGTTGCAATGCAATACCAATGAAGTGGTATACAAATATAAATTTTATATTAAACAAATTATGCACTTAAAAGCAAGAACAAAAATAAAGCTATTTATGCTAAATGTCACAAGGAATTCACAGGAATGGGAAGGTTAAGGATTAAAATCAATCAATTATTAAAAGGTTAATAAGGATCACTGAAGCAAGCCACATAGACTAGTATTTTACATCCATTTGCAAGTAACCAATAACACCAAGCAAATTACATTCAATCAATGGACTGAATCAAGGCCTTCTCTTAGTATACAATGCAAATCATAACCCCTTAATAGGTAATATTACATGCTGTATGCACACACTTAATATTATTACAGTACATGGCTAGCACATTCATAGTTGCTTTTCTGTGGTAATTCACTTAGTTGCTCCGAAAAATGTTTCCACTCTCGGTATGAACTGTAATGTGCATAAAAGCAAGGTACCACCCTGGTATCAGTACCACAGGGCTCTAGATAACAATAGAGAAAATTATCCAGCTTGAATGACTCCAAAAAAAAGGCACAATTCATATAATAATTCATAGTGTCGGGGAGGGGGGGGGGGGGACAGAAAGCAAGATTCATACACGTTAGCCTTTTATTAAAGTCCCCCCCCCCCACCCTCCCCTTTGTCATAACGCTTTGAAATTACTGACGGTTATGGCCTCCACCACCTTCTCACCTTTGCCACTATTTTGCTGGGCTTTTGCCACTATTTTGTTGCATGTTTGCATCTATTTTGTTGTGTTTGCCACTTTTTCATTGGCTGTTTGCCACTTATTTGCTGGCCATTTGCCACTTTTCCGTTGGCTGTTTGCCATTTTTCCGTTGGCCGTTTGCCACTTTTTCATTGGCCGTTTACCACTTTTTCGTAGGCCGTTTGCCACTTTTTCATTGGCTATTTAGTAATTAGCTAATTATTAATTAGCTGCTATGCCAATCATCACCAGGTGGTAGTCAGATGCTTAGTATGAAACCCAGGACACCCAAAGCACGCTCAGGAAACCAAGAAACAGGTTCAGTTATAAGGGTTTCAATTCCATCAATGCCATATTTGCTTTTCCAATATTCAGACAGAAAGCCTTTTAGACTTATCAAGATCTCCCTTGGCCAACTACTGGCCTTTTCAAGGATACAAGCCACTATAGTCGCTGAATTCCCAGGTACCTATTGGCTGCTTTGTGAACATAAGTATCAAGTGAAAGGCAACATGTGCCAAAATATATTTTCCTGTAGCAGAAATTGAAGCCTAAAACTTTTTGGTTGTGAGCCGATTGTGTTAACCACTGTGCTACAAGCAATATTCCTCTAACAACGTATAGGGTACCAACATGTCCAGACACTGAAGAGGTCCCTAGTTGGACACAATTCAGCCATCCAATATGTTTATTGGCTTCTTCCTGGGAACCAATGACCAATAAGATCTAATATTATTATGCAAGGTAGTGTGGTGTGTTTCCATGCATTGATGGTGTATCTGATTGATATAGGAATACTGTGCTGATACTTGGTTTTGTGGTCAGATATAAGCACCAGAGTATTTATTGTGCTGATATCTAGCTACTTCTTAAAATCCAGAATGCACCTTTCTAAGTGTCTACCCTTGTCTTTCCGCAGTTTAAGGACCACACACTTGCTTGAAAATAAAAGATAATAAATACAGGTAGTAGTAAATATAAGCCCTTAAATTTAATGGGTTTAGAAGCATATACAGAGTAGAAGAAAATTAAATACCTCCCTAAAATTTCTAGCCATTTTGATACTGCAGAATATAATGAAAAATTTAACATTTTTGTGGCTTTGGTCTACATAACAGTGAAGGCTTTTGTTTTAAGCATCACTGACTGGATGCAGAGAACTTTACCCTACTCTTTCAATCAATATTCTGCCATACACTATGCCCACTATATATACTGTATAGTACTATGTAGATGAAGGCTTGAATTCACCTCTGATTTTATGATATGCAAGAAAATTACAAATAATATACTGTACCATTTACAGAATTTTGACACATTCAAATAGCTAAAGACATATCAAAGGCACAAGGCATAGTATTCAGACACTTACTCATATGAAGACTCTTCTGACTGCCTTGATGATGCAGAATAACTCTCACTGTTTGAGTCAAAATCATTTGCTGGTTCCATTGCAGAAACACCTAGCTTACAATCATCAATAATCTGTACTTGACAATTGTTCACTGAATATCAGCAACCCTAAAAATTTTAAATAATATTAGTATAGCATAAAATTGAAAAAAAGATGAAACTTAAGAATGTTACTACAGATATCTATCTGTAGTCTCGTTGTCTTAGTTTCTCCCGAAAGCTTCCCAATAGGAGGCATCATCACAACAGAAATTCATCTGGGAGGCTCCATCACCACACAAACCTTTCACTTTTTCAAACACTCTTCTTTCATGTATTGATCCATATTTTATTCTTCCAAGATGCTGGTCATGTGCCTCTACCATAATGTCCCTTTATTTCATCATTGTACACCCTGCTTGTTAAATTATTTTCAAGCATTTTACAAACATGTCTATACCACTTAAAAATACTGTGCTTGACCAACTTCACACCTTAATATTTCACTCCGATACACTTTTTATTCATACCACATTTTTCATACAGTTTCTCATTGCTATGCCCATCCCACATTCTTACACCAACTGATTTAATATCAAAAAACTTATTTCCAATGCTTGGAATCTTGAGCACTCTGCCTTTTTCAATACCAAAGTCGCACTTCCATGTCTGGGATGAGAGTACTATAGTATCTCTGAGTCCATTCTTAACTCTCATACTGTACTAACATTTCTCCTTGTCATTATACTATACTACTAACACATCTACAACTGTACTGTATCTCTCTCATTTTTCTTTTAATACTTCCATTTTCATTTACAACTGCCGTAAGATATCTAAAACTTATTACTGTACCTCTTCAAGTATCTTTTCCATCATTTTTATCCTACAGATCTACTCAATATGTCTTGCCACTATAGGAACTACAAAATCCACAATATTCCATTTCCTCACTTTTCCAACAGTGACATTCAAACTTTCTTTTCTTACACACATTATCAAACCTACAAAACTACTACAATTCCTCCTTACTCTCAGTAAATAGGATAGTATCATTTACAAACAAGCATGTCAATAACATTCATCTCCATCACAAAACTGTCCCAAGTAACCAATCCATTTATATAACTCCCATCTTATCTCAACATCTAAAACCTCTCCTAATATTCCCCCCAACTCTCACACATGCTTGGCTATTTTTATAAAGAGTAAGAACCTACTCGAAACGCTATGTGTGCTAGTGCCTTTACAATAATGTAAGAACTCTTGTATATTTAAGTAAAAAATACAAATTAACATAAAAATTTAACAAATTTTACTACTATTAATACACTCCATTCCATCCAACAGATCTTTTAATTCTATCACAATACTGTACTTCATGATTAATATGTAGTCGATAAAATTTGTATAGAAAAGACAGCATATAACATTATCTGCCTTGCTAAAACTTTTCAATAACAATTCTCATATTCTGAATTCTCAATATTCTCAATTCTCAACAATTCTCAATTCTCAATATTCAGCTGATCCCATTCCTAAACCTACCATGTTCCTTCCCTAGCCTTCATTCTGTCATCTCTCTTACTCTCAATTTATACCCTGAATACATCCCTAGATACTTATCAGGGTCTCCTCTACTACCACAATAGCCATATTCATATTATTTGGAACCTCACTCTTTTGCCATGACATTTGACATTTAATATTATGTCCACTATCACCTCACACCTATATCTCAACATATATGCAGCTATTCCATTTATATTATAGCCCTTCTTTTCTTTAATGTACTGTATTCATAAGATTCATTTTTCCCTGTCTATGTTGACATCTACTTTGACATATCCTTTGAAATCTTCTACTTTGACATCTTCTTATAAAAGAAATTCAATCAAACTCTAATGCTCCATTTCATACCCTTCCCCTTGCCTCTAAGCAAATCTATGCTCAAAGAAAGTACTGTATGTGACAAACAAATTCTGCTTCAAAACAATGTACCCACCATGAAACCGCCCCCCCCCCCCACCATTTACACCCTGCATACCCACACGCACTTATTACACTCTTTAACACTTGTATCAGTCAATGCCACAACTTTCCCACCATTGTGTAGCTTTTCCACACAATTTTTTCGTTGACTGCAGAACACCTAGATCCTAATATTTTCCTATACAATTCTCTTTACAAACTACAGCATACATACGTGCAGAAGACGAATCACAATAACGTGGCTGAAGATATGATGACTGTATAGAGCATATACAGTTAATAAACTGCATATCACTCTCATCCCATCTTACACTCACTCCAACATATTCTTCAGTTAATGCATTCATACCCTAATGTAACTAAACCTAACTGAACCTAAGAGTGTTTGAGCCCAGAAAATAAATTAAGAAGAAGTTAGTTAAACCGCAAAAAGAGGCTGATCAAATTTATGTATGCCTAGTTCAGGATTAGTATACATTTCAGAATCCACAAATCGAATGTCCTCACACATAATTGATTTATTATGTTTATTATTTACAATATGGTCAATATGGTGCAGATAATCTATTAGACATTTTAGATATTAAATTAATTTATATTTTTGAGAAGCCACAATAACATACATAGTATTCTGGGCTTCACTTTATATATATATATATATATTTTTTTTTAATTCCACTAAGATTACCTATAAAATTTAAACTATATATTTAATTTGAGCTTAAGTAATCGCCTTAAGGAAAGGCAAATGGGGAGACCTTCGACAAGCCGACGGCTTCCTGTCCACTAGTGTTAGTAGCTCTCAGGTAAACTCAGGTAATTCGACTTTGATTTGAACAAATCACAAGCAACACATTCGAGCAGTAAATTAACATTTTAGCCTCCTTATCTTGACTGTAACATATAACACTGTAGAACACCCCCCTATTGACCTCCTCGACCAGTCAAGGAACTAAATATATTAGCTCCTGAAGACAATAAACACTAAAATTTGGAAGGCAAACCCCACTTTTGTTTACATCTACAATGTTTGTAAACATATCCATAGTTCGGCCAGCCCAACTTAGAATGCACCGTCGCAGATGTCTTATACCAGGGTTGCCAGATACAAATTGCTGAAAGTAGCGAGCTGACGGTCAAAAAGTAGCGAATTTGTAATAACAGTAGCCCAATTTTTTGTTGAGTGACTGATACGGGTTTCAAAGTAATATATTTTGATATACAGAGTACACTACACGATGTTAATTGTTTTATTCATATTATTTCTGCACACACACACACACACATACATACAAAAAAAGAAACCCGGATTTCTAGCAAACATATAAACATAGTTCACACATATAAACGGAGCTATACAAATCAAGGGACCCAGAATGTGGAATGACCTTCAAAATCATGTTAAAGACTGTACCTCTCTCAACCAGTTTAAGATAAAAACTAAGCACTACCTAATAAATTCCCTGTGACCTACCTTACCCCTATATTGTCAACCCATGTCTGTTTTTTTTAAACAACGCTGTTTGTCGACCTAATTGTATTTGTGCTGCTTTTTCTGCCATGTTCCCCTCTTTTTTATTTTTATTTTTATTTGTTCTCAACACATTTTATACTTTAATCTCAATTAGTATTAAGTTTTAGTCTTTAATGTTTTTCCTGCCCGAAACGCTTTGCGTAATAGTGGATTTAGGCATTGTATGTACTAGCTCTATCTATAAATCTATCAATTTTTGTATAACCTCTTGTATGTATTTTACCTGAATAAACATTTATTTATTTATTATTTATTATAGAGCCTTAGCAAACAAACCTGGAGCACTAGTACACAAACAACCGCTGAAGCACAACCATGCACGAACCGAAGCCTGACCATTCACAACCCACAGCCTAAGTGACACCCCCGGAGCCCGACCAGTTATTTAACCGGAGCCCGACCAGTTGTGTAACCGAAGCTCGACCAGTTGTGTAACCAGACCCCGACCAGTTGTCTAACCTTAAGCCTAGCAGGTATACATCTCATCCAACCCCCACAAAGCTAAACAGTCCCAGAGCTCAACCAAGCTCCATTCCTAGCTCGACCAAACAAAAATCTCATTAGCCCTACCTAAAATCCTCCACTTACCCTAGACACCAACTATTGACCCATAACAAACAATTGAACTATATACAAAAAAAGAAACCCGGATTTCTAGCAAACATATAAACATAGAGCCTTAGCAAACAAACCTGGAGCACTAGTACACAAACAATCTATCTAGTTACCTATCCATCAATCTATCCATCTGTCATTCCATCAATCTATCCATCTGTCATTCCATCAATCTATCCATCTGTCATTCCATCAATATATCCATCTGTCATTCCATCAATATATCCATCTGTCATTATATCGATCTATCCATCTGTCATTCCATCAATATATCCATCTGATATTCCATCAATCTATCCATCTGTCATTATATCAATCTATCCATCTGTCATTCCATCAATCTATCCATCTGTCATTATATCGATCTATCCATCTGTCATTCCATCAATATATCCATCTGTCATTCCATCTATCCATCCATCCATACATCCATCTATCTACTGTCTGACTGCTCTCTACTTCTCTGTCTCTCTCTCTCCCTCTCTCTGTTGCTCTCTCTCTCTCTCTCTCTCTCTTATAAAAAAATATAATTGTCAACAATTGATGTGTTGGTGCTGGCCAGTAAGAAGAGCTTAGATGTGTGAAATACTAAAAAAATAGAATAGTTACCCCATTTACTCTACGAAAGGAGCGTGACTTGACGAACCTTTGAAGCTGAGGGATGATCAATTGTTTTATTCAAGTACTGGCAAATTATGGATAGCATAATTTTTGTTTATAGTTTTACCAAGACCAGTGAATAATGGTGTTTATTTTGACCAGACCACACACTAGAAGGTACCTGAAGGGACGACGACGTTTCGGTCCGTCCTGGACCATTCTCAAGTCGATTGTCACAATCAATCACACTTGATTGATTGTGACAAACACAAGATTGACCACACCTTCTAGTGTGTGGTCTGGTCAGCATAATTTAGCCACGTTATTGTGACTCATCGCCTGCAATGGTGTTTATTACTATAAGAACTTATTTTGTGAAGTGTTTGTTTTCAATATATTTAGCTGTGTAGCCGGCAGGCAATGCCAAGAATCGTCGTAGGGGTCTGAATGTGATACTGGCATGCTGTTCTCTTTTGAATTATGGCGACCCTGACCAGCCTGTGTTCATCTCATACCCCAGACCATTCAATGTCAATTTATTTATTTATATACAAGAAGGTACATTTGGGTTGTGAGAGTACATAACATTGGTGTTCTTACATTCTTGTAAAGCCACTAACACGCATAGCGTTTCGGGCACAAAATGCAGAATTTGAATGAGGCTAGCCCCAAGCGTCTAGCTTCCAATTTTGGAGAAACTGCAAATTTTGGATATCTTACAGGTATAGATAATAATAATAATATATGAAAATAATTTATTTTTAAAAAATATACAGAACATGATACAATATGCAAATATAAAGTTTACCAGTAAACCTAATCTCACATATCAGCAAACTCGCGGAGAGATTTCTATGAGATTAAATCATCCACCATTCCACAATGTACAATCTTAGAAAGATTGTACATTTCACAATCTGTACAATCTCAACATATTTATATATATATATTCATTATATATATATATATATATATATATATATATATATATATATATATATATATATATATATATATATATATATATATATATATATATATATATATATATATATAACAAATATATAGCTCTGCCTAACAAAGCTGTTCACAAAAAAATCCAGTCATCTATGAAGAGCAAAGCTTCTCGCTAATCGCTGATTGGTTGCTGGGAAAATGCTTGATGTTTGTAGGAAGTGGACTTCGTGGGAAATATTTGTAGTACGCAACATTCATGGAACGTCTCAGTTGCTGCCGCATAATTTCTAATGTAGTTGCTACACTCCTTAATGAATGTAAACAAAGCCGCCACGATTGTTGAAAGATGTGCAGGTTTCGTAGTAGGTTGTCTAATTACTTGACGATTCTGGTTTGGAAACAGGATTTGTTGACCTATACAACAAATTACCGGATAGCATAAGATCTACATGGCATCGACGGATGGTTTAAAGTGGTTATAGCCACACATAATACGCATGAGTCTGGCTGGTTATAAACAGAAGTTTGCTACGTATATGGGCCCCCACAGACCCATATATACACACAGACAAGCGCATCGCGATCGAGATGTGTTCCCTCGTTGGAATTCTTTCCTTGCTCACATGCGCAAGCCGGCGTGGGCGGCGGTGACCGGGCAGCTGGCGAGCGCCGCGAGGGCGTAGGGTTGCTGAGATTCTAGCAGCACGCGGGCGTAGCGGGTGTGGAAGTTCCAGGTATGGAGAGTGTATACCTGGGGGTCGTTTAGTAGTTCATTCGCCAGGTCGGGGTCGTCCTGGACATATCGCCGCCAATCCCACCTGGTAGAGGAAGGAGGTGACATGAACGGGTGGAAGAGAATGGGTTAGTATGGGAGAATTGGATGGGCGTGAGTAGGGGTTGACGGGGGTTGGGGAAGAATGTGTCATATTGAAGTGGGTGGTGTAATGCATAGCGACTGCAGAAGGGTTATTAAGTGCACCACAGAAAATCATTTTGACCAATCACCTGGTATACCTTCTTGAGAAGTTATCTTGAGATGATTTCGGGGCTTTAGTGTCCCCGCGGCCCGGTCCTCGACCAGGCCTCCACCCCCAGGAAGCAGCCTGTGACAGCTGACTAACACCCAGGTACCTATTTTACTGCTAGGTAACAGGGGCATAGGGTGAAAGAAATTCTGCCCATTGTTTCTCGCCGACTCCCGGGATCGAACCCAGGACCACAGGATCACAAGTCCAGTGTGCTGTCCGCCCGGCCGACCGGCTCCCCGCTTTTTTGTCAGAAAATTTAAGTTGAAAATCTATAGTAATGTTTCTCTGCTTTCGTCAGAAAATTTAAAATGAAAATCTATATTGATGTTTTCCTACATTTACATAAGTTTGATTTTAATAAATTATACTTCTCCAATGTATGAACAAAAATTATGACGGAAAAATAATTTAGAGAATAATTCAACTAATTGACCTTTTCTCCTTAACCCCCCCCTTGGAATATTAAAATATTCTCCCCTTAGATTTCCCTTAGATTAGGGAAAATCACCCCCGGTGGGGGGTGGGGAGAAGTTCTCCATAGAATTTATCTAGAACGAACTAGACCAAGCATAAATTAACCTGATCTAATCTAACCTAATTTCACCCAATCCAACATAGCAATTTGACTCTGTTAAATTCACCTTAACCTAACGTAACCGAATGACCTAATATGGCTCAACTTGACCTAACCCTAACTTGATTATCATAAACTTGATCCAACTTATCTCACAATGGCTTGCTTCAACATGATATCACTCGACTTAAAATTAACTCTTAAAAATTATTTAAAAAGGATCGCGGAGAAAAGATTAAAAAAAGAGGATTGTCAGGATTTTGTCAGGCTGCGATTGCCATGTTGGGATCGTCATAAAGGGACTGTGTTATGTGGAATCAGGGTCAGCGTCTGACCTCTTGTTCATATGCTGGTTAGTTAATTTCTTAGAATGGAAATGAAAGCGTTAATTGAATGTTTACATTTTCAATCGGAGAGTGATTCCCCCAGCTTATATAAACACACACGCGCGCTTTGATGTGGTGCGGGGCGCGGTGAGAGGTACAGACATCCCACCATTTTAATTAAAGTTGTATCATATTTGGAGAACTTAATTCTAGGTGTGTCTAGGTACGTCATAATGGATGGGGCTGATGCGTGTGGTTAAATATTGTGAGGGATTTATATAAATGTATAATTCATTTTCTTACACACACACACACACACACACACACACACACACACACACACACACACACACACACACACACACACACACACACACACACAGGGCCTCGCGGCTAAGTGGATAGCGCTTGGGTGGATCTGGGGGGGTCGTAGTCCTACGGTCCGGGTTCGATTCCCCGGCGGGGGCAGAAACAAAAGGATAGAGTTTCTTTCGCCCTGATGCCCCTATTCACCTAGCAGTAAATAGGTACCTGGGGTTAGACATCTGCTAATATATATATATATATATATATATATATATATATATATATATATATATATATATATATATATATATATATATATATATATATATATATATATATATATATATATATATATATATATATATATATATATATATATATATATATATATGCAGTGCATGTAAAAGATGAAAAATAAATTGGTTAGAAAGGCGGGATAAAAGAGTTAATAGCTCGATTCTTCAGACACAAATAGTGAATACACACACACACACATATATATATACTTCATCTTAATCATAACATACATACTAATGGAATGCATTGGGAAGTGATGTGGTGGAGGCAGACTCCATACACAGTTTCAAATCATGATAGGACCCAGTAGGCTCAGGAATCTCTACACCAGTTGATTGACGGTTGGGAGGCGGGACCAAAGAGCCAAAGCTCAACCCCCGCAAGCCCAGCTAGGTGAGTACTTACACCAGAACTGAGAGGTAAAAGTTACGAGGAAAGGCTACGGGAACTAAACCTCACGTCCCTGGGAGACAGAAGAGTAAGGGGAGATATGATAACCACATACAAAATTATCAGAGGAATTGACAATTTCCAAATTATTTAGCACGGGTGGAACACGAACAAGGGGACACAGGTGGGAACGTAGTGCCCAAATTAGCACAGGGACATTAGAAATAATTTTGTACAGTGTCAGAGTAGTTAACAGATGGAATGCATTAGGCAGTGATGTGGTGGAGGCTGACTCCATACACAGCTTAAAATGTAGATATGAGCCCAATAGGCTCAGGAATCTGTACACCAGATGACTGAAAGTTGCGAGGCGGGACCAAAGAATCGAAGCTCAACCCCCCGCAAGCACAACTAGATGACTACACTCACACAGCTGGACGTAATGAGGTTACTGAACAATAAGAAATAAAATGACGCCTGACAGTGCCTCAGGGGGGGGGGGTAGAATAACAATGAAGTTACGCAAGCACTTACGAACGTGTACATCTTTCCTCAGTCTTTGACGGCTTTGGTTACATTTACTAAACAGTTTACAAGCATGAAAACTTCCCAATCAACTGTTGTTATTGTTATAAACAGCCTCCTGGTGCTTCGGAACTCATTAACAGTTTAATAATTGTAAACAAAGCCGCCAAAGATTTAAAAAAAAGATGTACACGTTCGTAAGTGCTTGCGTATCTGTTTCGTGAATCTGGCCCCAGGTCTCCAAGAGGATAGTGCCAGAGCTCACTAGCTTTAAATGGTGCCACTGTGTCTGACTCAAGATCATACCAGCTTAAATGGGAGCCATTGTGACGTGGTCTCCAGAAGAAGAGACCCAGAGACGACCCGACAAAGCAAGACCGCACTCACCGGATCCGTGAGGGATAAATTATCCATCAGATACGACTAGGTTTTCTGGCCCAGTTGGATAATGGACTAATTCATGACGTACACACAAGAACCAAATTATTATATACGATGGCTGGCGACGAGGAGGGGTCGTACAAAGAGGGGTCGTACTAGGAGGGGGCCGTACAAGGAGGGGTCGTACTAGGAGGGGTCGTACAAGAGGTCGTACAAGGAGGGGTCGTATACAACACATCAGTCACTAAAAGCGAGAGACACAGAGACAAAGTTGAGAGAATAATCTATTACAGAGCGCGACCACTAGGAAAAGATATACAACCCCTCACAGTTAAATTATTCCAAAGAAAACACTTGATATAAGAGTCACAGTTAGCCAGGTGGAGGATGGAAACTGACTTAGCGAAGGACCTGCCTTACCCACCAGAGCCCAGGAGCTGAGCCAGACTCACCAAGCCACGGGGTAGAAGGCTCGTGGGGGAAGGATGGTGATATCCGGACACCTTGGAAGACGGCCTGAGGGAAGCTCCAGTCCACACCTGTTGAAGAGTTCTACTGTCAGTCTGTGCTAGAGAGAGAGAGAGAAAGAGACAGACAGACAGACAGACAGACAGACAGACAGACAGACAGACAGACAGACAGACAGACAGACAGACAGACAGACAGACAGACAGACAGACAGACAAACAGAGACAGAGCTGTGTGACGGCCATAGCATTTAGCGTTGTGTTTATGGTTCCGAATTGATACCTAATCGTGTTCAATTGTTTCATTGGGATGCAATCCCACACCAGCTCCCTAACTCCTTGGTACCTATTTACTACTAGGCGACCAAAGGCGTTAAGGTGAAAGGAAACGCGCCCAACCATTTCCATTCTGCCCGGGAATCGAACCTGGGATTCCCGATTGTAACTCGAGAACGAAGCCAACAGTACTATACCCTGGGCCCTTGAGCCATGTACCCATAAGGTAACTCCGCTCCCTGTACAAGGTAATACACGTCAACCTACTTCATTACTGATGGCGTGTGAACAACGGAAAAAAACGGTTTTAAATCTCAGTTTGAACATGCAAACATTCGGACATTCCCATGTCCGTTATGACGTCGTTTGTCATACCTTCCGCTTCCTTCGTCATGTCCGTGGCCAGAACACACCACGGACGATATGGAGAGATCTTCATGTCGCTGCACAGTTGGCTTCGTTCTCGACTGACAATCACAAGGCTTGATTTTCGGGCACAACAGCAAAGGCGGGACCGCCATTATTGTCTCAATTCTCGGGCGGGACTTGCATGTTTCATTTCACGTAATACCCTCTGTTCACTTAGCAGTAAATAGGTACTCCCGGGAGTTAAGTAACCGTTGAGGGGTTGCATACTAGGGGAGGTCAGTAGTTGCAATAAAAAGGGGAGACATCATTATAAGCATAAAGGTCATTTTTTTTTCAGACGAGGCTTCCCTGCTGGAGCAGCGTAAGCGCTCCATATGGGTCGTAACATATGTGCGACCTGGAGACTAGCTGGGTATAACAGAAATTCTATATAGCATTCAGAGGGCGCCTTTGTCCAAGCTCCTGGTGGTCATCAAGATATTGGCCAGGGTTGGCATTCGCGGCCAGGGTTATATTGTATGTGTGTGCCTTTGTCATACAGTGGTCTGAGGCGTCATGCCTTCTCCCAGGTATTGTGGGAGAAGACATGACCCCCTGCACCGGCCCACAAAAGGAGAGACATGCTTTGTGGTCCACAGAGCTGCCTCATCTTCGTTCTGTGCTCCTTTTTAATTCTTGGTCAGGGTTGGTCAGGTTCCTCTTTGAAAAACTTCCTGGAACTCTCAGTGAATACTTTTCATATTGACCAGACCACACACTAGAAGGTGAAGGGACGACGACGTTTCGGTCCGTCCTGGACCATTCTCAAGTCGATTGTGATGATTAACTGCTCTATTAGAATACTTTTCATAGTTCCTCCTACGTCTGACCTTCCTGTCTCTTGTGTAGACAGAATACTTGTTGATGTTCCAGTACATAGTGTCCTCTTAAGTCTATGGGACAGTCTCCTCGCATTTGCTTACCGTTATTCTTACATTACTCCTTCAACTTTCTCCAGCTGAAAGAAACTCTTCTCCGTTTGTTTCTGTCTCGTCCGGGAATCGAAATGGCTCCGCAGACTGCGAATGCCGAACAGCGTCCGCTCGGCCGCGAGGAGTCTGCTGTAGGGAGTGGACGAGGTCAGGGGGTGATTGAAGAGGGAAAACAAGCAGAGAGCAGATGTCTGCTCCTTTGTCCTGTTAATCAACCATTATGTGACGTAATTTGTCAATTGTTCGGCACTGTACTATTAACGTAGTACATTAACTGCTCTATTAGAAATTTCTACGGTTGGAGGTATTAAAGTGTTTATATAAACTGATTTGAGGGAATTACAAATATGTTTGTATAATTGTTACACTCGTGTCTGGTTCACTGGGTATGTTGGTAAGTGTTTCTGGTACACTGGGTATGTTGGTAAGTGTTTCTGGTTCACTGGGTATGGTGGTAAGTGTTTCTGGTTCACTGGGGTATGGTGGTAAGTGTTTCTGGTTCACTGGGTATGGTAAGTGTTTCTGGTTCACTGGGTATAGTGGTAAGTGTTTCTGGTTCACTGGGTATGGTGGTAAGTGTTTCTGGTTCACTGGGTATAGTGGTAAGTGTTTCTGGTTCACTGGGTATGGTGGTAAGTGTTTCTGGTTCACTGGGTATGGTGGTAAGTGTTTCTGGCTCACTGGGTATGGTGGTAAGTGTTTCTGGCTCACTGGGTATGTTGGTAAGTGTTTCTGGCTCACTGGGTAAGGTGGTAAGTGTTTCTGGCTCACTGGGTATGGTGGTAAGTGTTTCTGGTTCACTGGGTATGGTGGTAAGTGTTTCTGGTACACTGGGTATGGTGGTAAGTGTTTCTGGTTCACTGGGGTATGGTGGTAAGTGTTTCTGGTTCACTGGGTATGGTGGGAAGTGTTTCTGGTTCACTGGGTGTGGTGGTAAGTGTTTCTGGCTCACTGGGTATGGTGGTAAGTGTTTCTGGTTCACTGGGTATGGTGGGAAGTGTTTCTGGTTCACTGGGAATGGTGGTAAGTGTTTCTGGTTCACTGGGTATGGTGGTAAGTGTTTCTGGTTCACTGGGTATGGTGGTAAGTGTTTCTGGTTCACTGGGTATGGTGGTAAGTGTTTCTGGTTCACTGGGTATGGTGGGAAGTGTTTCTGGTTCACTGGGTATGGTGGGAAGTGTTTCTGGTTCACTGGGTATGGTGGTAAGTGTTTCTGGTTCACTGGGTATGGTGGTAAGTGTTTCTGGTTCACTGGGTATGGTGGTAAGTGTTTCTAGTTCACTGGGTATGTTGGTAAGTGTTTTTGGTTCACTGGGTATGGTGGTAAGTGTTTCTGGTTCACTGGGTATGGTGGTAAGTGTTTCTGGTACACTTGGTATGGTGGTAAGTGTTTCTGGTTCACTGGGTATGGTGGTAAGTGTTTCTGGTTCACTGGGTATGGTGGTAAGTGTTTCTGGTTCACTGGGTATGGTGGTAAGTGTTTCTGGTTCACTGGGTATGGTGGTAAGTGTTTTTGGTTCACTGGGTATGGTGGTAAGTGTTTCTGGTTCACTGGGTATGGTGGTAAGTGTTTCTGGTTCACTGGGTATGGTGGTAAGTGGGGGCTATGCTCTCTCCTTTTGTTTCATTGCTGAATATTATTCACTGTCTACTCATCCTCACAAAATATTAGAGTAATGTCAAAGTACCTTAAAAAATGGTTAGCTTATACACGAATGTCCAAGTACATGCAATGGTGTGTGTGTGTGTGTGTAGGTCTCTCTCTCTCTCTCTGTCTGTCTCTCTCTCTGTCTGTCTCTCTCTCTGTCTGTCTCTCTCTCTGTCTGTCTCTCTCTCTGTCTCTCTCTCTCTCTGTCTTTCTCTCTCAATCTGTCTTTCTCTCTCTCTGTCTTTCTCTCTCTCTCTGTCTTTCTCTCTCTCTCTGTCTTTCTGTGTGTGTGTGTGTGTGTGCTTAAGTAAATATGAAGTCGAATCCTTGCATAACAACCGAACATGATGCCTTTGCTCTGTGTGATAAATGCATTTATTTGCACGTTAACGACTAGAATAGTATAATTCCTCCTCTGTAGTCAGAGGAGAATGTTTCTCTTTGGACTCATTCTGACTCTCTGTCTCCCTCCCTTCCTCTCACTCACTCATTCTGTCTCTTTTTGTTATGTTTTTATCTGTGTCCATATTTTTGTGTCACTGAACACGACTTTCAGAATCGTTGGTAATTTAAGATAAGAGTACTTAACTCCAGCAAATATTCAGACACCTTAAAAATCACCGCTGTAGCGACGTCAATGGCCTCTGGGAGTTCCACTGAAATGTTGAATTGTTTTTCTATCTGAGAATAGCAACGGAGATCAAACTAGGAAAGCTGTCTGTCTGTCTGTCTGTCTCTCTCTCTCTCTCTCTCTCCCTCCAGTTGATTGGGAGTCGAGAGGCGGGACCAAAGAGCCAAAGCTCAACCTCCGCAAGCACAACTAGGTAAGTACAAGCCCACTACTCTCAAATTATCATATAGATTGAGCTCCCATTTTTCTCTATCTCCTGACTTCTGCCAATATCGGTTCGGCTATTAGATGGAAAATAAAAATTTACGTCTTGGAGCTATTTTTTTTTCTTTCTATGAACATTTTTATTTCCAATAAAAAATAAGCACAGAGAGAGAGAGAGAGAGAGAGAGAGAGAGAGAGAGAGAGAGAGAGAGAGAGAGAGAGAGAGAGAGAGAGAGAGAGAGAGAGAGAGAGAGAGAGAGAGAGAGAGAGAGAGAGAGAGAGAGAGAGACAGAGAGAGAGACAGAGAGACAGACAGAGAGAGAGAGAGAGAGAGAGAGAGAGAGAGAGAAATGTTACACGACCCCAGTTATATAGACTGAACCACTAGGGGGCTCTCTCTCTCTCCCTCACAGCCTTGGCACTCTAACCACCACCATCTAAAGCTCACAAGTAATCCAGCTGGGATGGCCCCATTGTAGACCGAGGGCCTAAACAGCGTGTACAGCGTGCCTAAAAGGCTGCAACAACAACAACATGTGACATTGCTCACTTCAGAGTCATAGCTGCTCCCCATATGGGTGATTTCCTATTAGCAGCCTCAATCTCAGCCACTTGCATGCATCTCACACCGCAGGTTCTCTGAATTGCAATGGTTCTCTGTCCTGCTTCAACAATTCATACCATCCACATATGTGTATTTGTGGGGAGGCAATAGCTGACAGGTACGGACGTCCAACCCGTTCTCGTACTTTCGTATAGTCAATATTGACTTATTAAATACGTGCAAATGTGACATACTAAACATACTAGTTTACCTTGAAAAGCTTCATAGAAAACACCGACCTTACCTAACCTTCTTAGTATGATAAGATAAGCAACTTATTGCTTCGTAATTACAATTATTACTTAACCTGTACCTATAATAGGTTAAGTAATAATTGTAATTACGAAGCACTAAGATGCTTATCTTAACATACTGAGAAGGTTCGGTAAAGTCGGTGTTTTCTATGAAGCTTTTCAAAGTAAACTAGTATGTTTAGTATGTCACATATGCACGTATTTAATAAGTCAATATTGACTATACGAAAGTGCGAGAACGGGTTGGGACGTCATGGCCTGCTCTGCCAAAGCACAGGAGGATGGCATGCAAGACATGATGAAGTTAATGACCATCATTAAGAAGACACTTACCACTGCTGGTTGTCCAGCAGAGAGAGAACCTCGTTACCTAATGCCCCGCAACTCTGACGAGCCTGCTGGTCGCCCAGACGGGATAGTAGTGAACCCCTGGAAGAACGGTCGACAGTTGGCGTGGAAAAGGATCTGGGGTCTAAGCTAATCGAAACAACAAGAGACCCTAGAGCTGTCAGCTTCATTTTCCAGTGCCTCAGCGTGTCACTACAAAGGGAAAACACACACTATATTCAGGGTTACTGCACCACGGAAGGAACTGGAGGAACTCAACAGCCTGTAATAAACAACTTTGTACAGTGTATATAACAAAGTTTGCAACTCGGTTTTTGTAATAAAGTTGAAATAAAATAAACAATTACAAAATATAAGGGGGGTGGTAGGAGAAGGTAATATGTGCCAGCGCAAATGGGAACCTTATGGGGTTCCCATTTGCCGGGTACTGCATATCCTCTTCTTAGAGGCCGAGGGGCCTACAAACACAACCAGAGATGGTACCCTTTATACATTCATACGTAGGGTACAAGGCTACTTGTCACAGGTTGTAGAGTTTCTCCAGCTCCACAGATGGCGGGCAGGAACCATGGATGCAGTGAGCATTTCCTATCTGGATCGCCACACTAAGGCGCTGAAAGAGGAACTGACGACTCTAGGGTCTCTAGTTGTTTCAATTAGCTTGGAACCCAGCTCCTTAAAAAACTAGCAACACTTTTACCCCAGGCACCAAGTGTCTCTGAGGCAATGGGGACAAAATTGTAGTGGTGATCAAGATCTCTGTATTTATGCGGCTTGGCTGCTTCCCGGTGATTGGCAGCACCTCCTGCCTGTGCAGCACTGAAGTCAACATAGGTGTTGGTTAAAGTTGAAACGCAAGTGTAGTCCCACACCAACTGTCTACCATTCTTCAAGTTGTTCACCGTGATCCCGTTTGGGCGACCGACAGGCTTATCAGAGTTGTGGGGTATTCGGTAACGGGGCCAACGGGACCTCTCTGCTGGACAACCGGCTGTGGTAAGGCTTCTCTTAATAATTTCATGAACCTCGCCGTGTCTTGCATGCCATCCTCCTGTCCTTTGACAGATATATATATTTGCGGAAAAACCACATGTGAATAATAGAGAATGCTAAAGGCGTTTTCGGCTCAATTCGCCTTCATCAGGGCAAGATAGAGGATTTTCAGAATTAAACATAAAGTCGCACGTCATGAAATGTAATCACTTCAGTGATACTAGAGGAGGTATTCTAGTGTGGAGATATTCCACTTTACTACATATTATAATGAGGACATATTATAGTGAGGATGTATTTCAGCGAGGAGATATTCCACTCTAGGACACATTAAAATTATGACATATAGGAGGACATTTCGGTGAGGAGAGATTCCAATGAAAACATTATCAGGTGGACGCAGATACCAACGAAGATTAATTACCTTTCAGACACATTCCGTTGCCGAAACATTCTAATGAGACCAACTCTATCTAGCAAGAACAGAACGCATTCCAGCGACGACACATTCCAGTACGAACACATTCCAATAACAATAGAGTACAGACATTACACATTTTAGTAAACACTGGTCATTATTCAACAATATTTTTCCCCAACGGCAGACATATGTGTCGACCAGAATATTCGTGGACATGACTGTAGGCGAAGAGCCATAAAAGCCCTCGAATTATGAGGCTTTTTTTGCATGCATTGTCAAACATTTTACGATATGGAGGTGGAATTCTCTCCCTGTTAGGGGCAGCCCAGAGCTGAAACACACATACCAAATGGCATGTCACCCTCCCCTGCCCAGGACACCAATTATCATCACTTTTACGCATTAGCGAACACCAAAAAAATCACCATTCAATTTGGGAATACGATGGAACATGCCTGTTTTTTTGAGTGCTTTGTCAGAATCGTGTTATTGGTTATATCTGCTTTCAAATTTAGAGATACAGGATACGTTTAATTACATTTCTGACTATTCTATCTTTAAATAATAATTTTTGGGGGAAAATTTTGATTAGAAGAAACAGTTGAGTTTATACACCCTAAATATTTTTTTTGTATATCAACAATTACTGCCAAAAACGGGAAAGTTCGTTAACAACTGGATGAATGAAAGAATTGAGAATCGTTAAAGATTCAAAGGGAAGGAAACACCATTAATGTTACAACTATGAAGCTATGGACTGCTATTGGTTGGCATCGTTAACCTAAATTCAGCCGATAAGGTACGTGATTAATTAAGAACAGCTGATGACGCCAGGGTAGGCTGGGACCCGCCACATCTGTACGTTGTGGTAATAACGTGGCAAGAAGCACCGCTTCACAGCCTCTCCTTCGCTATAGATGAAAGTTTCATGGGCGGGAAAATGAAATTGCCAGCTGACTTTTATACATAAAGTCCCACGGTAAAGACAAAAGATTTATGTTCTCTCTCGATCTATCCTACAATTTGTTTATATATATATATATATATATATATATATATATATATATATATATATATATATGTCGTACCTAGTAGCCAGAACGTACTTCTCAGCCTACTATGCAAGGCCCGATTTGCCTAATAAGCCAAGTTTTCCTGAATTAATATATTTTCTCTATTTTTTTCTTATGAAATGATAAAGGTACCCATTTCATTATGTATGAGGTCAATTTTTTTTATTCGAGTTAAAATTAACGTAGATATATGCCCGAACCTAACCAACCCTACCTAACCTAACCTAACCTATCTTTATAGGTTAGGTTAGGTTAGGTAGCCGAAAACGTTAGGTTAGGTTAGGTTAGGTAGTCTAAAAGCAATTAATTCATGAAAACTTGGCTTATTAGGCAAATTGGGCCTTGCATATTAGGCTGAGAAGTGCATTCTGGCTATTAGGTACGACATATATATATATATATATATATATATATATATATCTGTGGCCTCCCTAGGCTTCGGGAGCAAGCCGGCACCGACCTACTGAACGAGAACATGGGTCTGTTCAAGTACGTTTATTGAGACAAGAAAATACATCTCAAAGGGATAGCTATATATATATATGTCGTACCTAGTAGCCAGAACGCACTTCTCAGCCTACTATGCAAGGCCCGATTTGCCTAATAAGCCAAGTTTTCATGAATTATTTATTTTACGACTACCTAACCTACCTAACCTAACCTAACCTAATTTTTTCGGCTACCTAACCTAACCTAACCTATAAAGATAGGTTAGGTTAGGTTAGGTAGGGTTGGTTAGGTTCGGTCATATATCTACGTTAATTTTAACTCCAATAAAAAAATATTGACCTCATACATAATGAAATGGGTACCTTTATCATTTCATAAGAAAAAAAATAGAGAAAATATATTAATTCAGGAAAACTTGGCTTATTAGGCAAATCGGGCCTTACATAGTAGGCCGAGAAGTGCGTTCTGGCTACTAGGTACGACATATATATATATATATATATATATATATATATATATATATATATATATATATATATATATATATATATATATATATATATATATATATATATATACACACATACGTATATATACTTACCATGAAGCAAATATGGGGAGAGCGGACTGAGACTCTTCCAGACATTCCCATTACAAAAAACTTGTTCCCCCCCCCCCTCTAAAAAAAGTGTTAAGAAGCTAACCTGTCAATTAGCACCTGAGTTAACAGCTCCGGACCATTGGCGCCCCACACGTGACCGTTGAAGTGCCTGGCGAAGTGGTTGAGACAAGCGCGCAGGAGCGGGTGGGCGCGCGTGAACTTGAGCACCCCGGCGGCCACGTACCGCTCCGACTCCCGCGCGGCGCAGTTGGGGAGGTGGGCCAGGGAGCGCAGCACCAGGGCGTCCAGGTCCAGGTACACTCCCCCGTACTTCCACAACAACAGCCACCTGTCGCCAGGGAAAAGCAAGTTCCTGGAACTTATGTTGACACAGGGAGAATATAGAACATGGATATTCTGGCTGGCGATGTGTGTGTGTGTGTATTTACTATGTGTTTCCGTTGAGTCGAGCTATTTAGCTCTTGAGCCCCGCCTACCCCGCCAGGTTGTGTGTGTGTGTGTCAACTGTCAGTTGACTGACAGTTGAGAGGCGGGACCAAAGAGCCAACGCTTAATTCCCCCTTAAGCACAGCTAGGTGAGTAAAACTAGGTGAATACACACACACACACACACACACACACACACACACACACACACACACACACACACACACACACACACACACGCACACGCACACGCACACACACACACCTGATACCATCGGTGAGGTGAGATAGCGGCCACTGGCTGTCCTCCCATTTTCTTCGCGTGTACCAGCCTTCGAGCCGCGATCCGTGGAACGCCTGGGTCAGGTTCAGGTGGAAGATTCGCAGATTGGAGAACCGGGTTGTTAAATCAAGAAGAAGTGGGCTCTGTCTAATTACCTGAGCAGGAGAAACGCCTGTTTAGCCTATAGAAACGATTTGTAGGGGTTGTTATCAATTAGGGTTCTGAGTGTGAGAATGACAATGGCTACTTGCTATGCTCCCGTGGTGACACTCCTATGTAATTTATGTACTGTACTTTTTTATGTAAACTTTCCCAAATTACAGATGTACTACTGTTTATGAATAAGGTTGTTTGATTTGTGAAATTTGATTGCCTTAGAATGAGAATGTTGACCATACCACACGCTAGAAAGTAAAGGGACGACGACGTTTCGGTCCGTCCTGGACCAGTCTCAAGTCGATTGTCTGTTCACGAAAACGTCGTCCAAAGATTTCACGAAAACGTCGTCGGAAAACGTTTCCCGAAAACGTCGTCGTCCCTTTACTTTCTAGTGTGTGGTTTGGTCAACATTACACACAGAAATCACAATTGCGTGATACATCAAATGAACAAATCCACAAGGGCCGTGACGAGGATTTGAACCTACGTCCGAGAGCATATCAGACGCTAGTATTATTAGTTAGCTAACACTAGAGTTAGTATTATTCCTTATCGACTGAATCCTCGTCACGGTCCTTGTGAATTTGTTCATTGGTCAATATATTTCAGCCACGTTATTGTGACTCCTCGTCTGCATTGAGAATGTTTATATATAACAGGCGACTGGGAGATCAAAACACCTTTGTTCCCATAGCGTCTGAGACGCATGGCCCCCTGGGGAAGGAGCACCTTGGAATTTCCCAAAGTATTGGGTTCCAGGTTCACTGATTTAACCAGAGACCCAAGAGCTGCCAGTTTCTTATTTCAGCGAATCAGTGTGGCGATACAGAGGGGAAACGCCTGTTGTATCCTCGGTTTCTGTCCGGAAGCGGAGGAGCTCCAAGAGATCCATAACCATTAAACACGTATTGTATTAACCAATATACGTCTTGTAACTTTTAAATATAAAATAAAGCACAACAAAACACAAAAGGAAGGGGGTTATAGGAGAAAACCACACAAACTGTATTGGAGGGGGGACCTAAACATTCCCTCTAATGCGTTATGTGTGGTTTCCTCTGAGGCTATGGGTCCCCCTTCGTCCAGCCAGAGGTGGTACTCCTTCCATATTATATATTATATATTATATATATATATATATATATATATATATATATATATATATATATATATATATATATAAAGACCGATAAAACTATTATTGGTGCAGTTGATAACACAATAGTCCACATCATCGGCTCTTAATCGAGGAACTCATGTTCATTTACCAGGCAAGACAGAAGCAGTTGGGCAAGTTTCTTTTCACCAAATACGCCAGTTCACCCACCACTAAAATAGGTACTATAGTGAGTTAATGCAACTGTTGTGGGTTGCATCCTAGTGAAGGTCAGTAGTTGGCAAGGGAGATGGGGGTGGATCTGTATAAGACAAAGTACCGGCTTCCTGTCCCCGACCCGGAGAAATAATGTGTGAAAAAGTCAGGTATCCGAGTTAGTATTATTCCAACCGGATATTGAGTCATTATATCCCGAGGTTATCTTGAGATGATTTCGGGGCTTAGTGTCCCCTCGGCCCGGTCCTCGACCAGGCCTCCTTTTTGTTACACACACCCCAGGAAGCAGCTGTCTAACTCCCAGGTATCTATTTACTGCTAGGTAACAGGGGCATCAGGGGTGAAAGAAACATTTTGCCCATTTGTCTCTGCCTCCACCGGGGGATCGAACCCGGAACCTCAGGACAATGAATCGGAAACACAAAAACATCCGAAACGCCCTGACAGAGGTGAACAAGGGCGCTGTAATACCTAACAGCTGGAGAATATATTATGGAATGATTTATACTGTTATAAAACATTACAGAAGTTTAAACTATAATAAAACATAAGAGAGGCGAACGTCTGTCGTATTCTTATTTAAGAACAACACCGATAAATGATAACTTGACAGCCCCCGTTCCTGTGCCAGATAAGTCCACAACGGGCTCACCATAGCCCGTGCTACTTGCAACATTTTGTTCCAAGTAGCGAATCTTAAACAACAACAACAACAATGATAACTTATAAATGATAAGAATAACTTAGTTACAATTTCCCGGACATTTAACAACAAAAACCTAATTCCCGAAAATCCACTTTTCAGTAAACCCTATTCCCCATTCCCCCCCCCCTTCCCTGGCCACTACCCACGGGGGAGGTCATGAAGAGGGTGACGGGAAGGTCAGGGTGTCTGAGAGCAGCGGCCTCCACCGTGCACCACATCCTGTAGGTGAGGTGAGGCTGGCCGTACCCCTCCAGGAGCAGCACGCCCTCCTCCTCCGGCTCCCCGACTTCTAGCCTCACCGTGACCACCTCGAACCCCGCGCCCGACGACGGCTCCGGCTGGGGAAGAAGGTGCGGGAGATTACTTCTGTGATAGAGGCATAGGTGGAGGGGGGCAATGACCCCTATATATATAATACTATATACATGTGTCACTTTAGCATCTTGGAAAGTTAGGTGAATTAAATGTATTCACTGACTATTAGTTCACGAGGGCTCATGGTGTAGATGAGCCACATTGTGCAGGTCCCCAGGGCGTACAAGACTGCCATTAACACCACACTGCCTCTTTTGATCCTCATGCTGACGTACGCTGCTGCCTCTGGTGTACGCCCTCTGCTGCCTCTGGTGTACGCCCTCTGCTGCCTCTGGTGTACGCCCTCTGCTGCCTCTGGTGTACGCCCTGTGATGACTCACACTTAGTGACGTTCGAACTATTCACGAACAGTGCTACGCTCACTTTCCAAATTCGAATCGTTCGTGGTACAAATACCTCTCCCACGTACTGCAAATACACAGATAATTATTGCCCATCGTGTCACTACACCAAATCTAGCCTGACCTAGTTCGAGCTATAAGATAAATGATAATATATTTCATTGCTTTATATATGAAAAAAATATTGATTTTTAATATGCATTACATTTAAATTAGCGAGTGTTTGTTTGTGGGTGAATAGCGCAGCTGTGGCGAGCATGCCTTGAGGACAGGCCGCGTCTTCAGATGCTGACCCCTTGCGAGCTGCACGTTCTTCAGATTCACCAAGTTACATTCCATCACACATTAAACCATTCGAGGTTTGAATCACAATTTCGAAGACATGACGCCACTTTTAGCCCACTTTCATGAACAAAAAACCAACTGACCACATTAGCACAACTTCGCTACCAGTTCCGCACCAGTTTAGAACCTGTTCAAAACTAGATCAGCACCATCTTAGCACTAGTTTACCACCATTAACACGTCACAAACGTTACAGAGACGCGGAGACGCCATAGTGGCGTCTGCTCACCGACTAACGGCGCGTTCACCTACATATTCCTTATCTCGTAATCTTGTCGGTTCTCGTGATAAAGTAAGATAACGATAAGAGAACTACAGGCCTCCACTCTGCTTCGCCCATATACTCCTCACTAAGTTGACCAGACCACACACTAGAAGGTGAAGGGACGACGACGTTTCGGTCCTTCCTGGACCATTCTCAAGTCATTTTACTTTAGCCACGTTATTGTCACTCCTCACTAAGCTTCACAATCGACAGAAACAGCGACAATAGAAGACTGGAAATTGGGGGAGGCATTATGCATCAAGCAAGCCATGCTAACACCAAGTTACACTCTGTTCTCAAGAACACGACACAGCATCCAATATACTGCCACACCCAATGAGCCTATTGGCCCATGAGTGAGGTTCTTCACCTTCATCATATCCTCGGCTGTATTGTTTATCCGGCAGCATAAAAACATTAAAGAGCGCTCTGGACACGTAATCCTAGGGTCCGGGTTCGATCCCAGGTGATGGCAGAAACAAATGAGCACAGTTTTTTTTCACCCTGATACCCCCTGTTACCTAGCAGTAAATAGGTACCCGGGAGTTAGACAGCTGTTACGGGCTGCTTCTTGTGTGTGTGTGTGTGTGTGTAAAAAAAAAAGTTAGTTAGTAGATAGTAACAGTTGATTGATTGACAGTTGAGAGGAGGGGCGAAAGAGGCGGGCTCAACCCCCGCAAGCACAACTAGGTGAATACAACTAGGTGAACACACACACACACAAAATAACAAACTAAATACATAGAGCATCGAGCATTACTCTCGAGACTGTCAGAGGTAAATCATTAAATCAGGCCAGCGCCGACAGCTGAACTCCATTATCATACATATTAAATGATTCATCCATAATTTGCAAGAATACGAGGTGATACATAACACACGGAGCTATAATTAGTTGTTGCAGCCTAGGGAATAGGGCGAGGAAATTGGATAATAAAATGAGTTGTTTTTAATCTTCCTGATTTCTTATGGAACATCAATCGGTATTTAGTTGCATTGAAAGCTCATATATATATATATAGACCAGCCTCTTGATTTGTCACTCCGTGCAAAATGCAACGTCCTAACCTCACCACGAAACGTACTAACTCATCTAGCCTATCGAATCCGATGCACGAAAAGCCTACCCATCTGCGCGCCGTTATTTTTCGTAGTAGGCTACGTTTGTAACGTTGAAAAAAAAGCGCGATCTATTGGGTGATAGGGATTGTAAATATAACACCGTGGGTTGATTGTTGACCACGAGTGTGTATTGGTGTTGATATAGAATGTGATGATTGTTTTGCTGCTGTTGCAACGGTGACGATTGCTACTCTTACGTCGCAGCAACAGGAGCAGCATCAACGGCAATAAGAGCAAAACGGAAGGAACAACAGCAACATAAAAGACAACAGAGCAGCATCAAAAATAATAACAGCGTCAACAGAAGGAGTAATAACAACATAAGCAAGAATAATAATAAAATATCTAATAACGATAAAAATAAAAATTATTATTAATACGGAGAAGAAAGAGAAGAAAGAGAAAGAAGAAGAAGAGGAGGAGGAAGAAGAAGAGAGACTAAACGACAAAAGTCAGGGAAAATATAATGTTCAGGAGAGCCATAAAAGCTTTGATCTGAAGACAAAAGCAAAAAAAAAGATTAAGTCAATGAATCGTCTGGCTCTCTTGATCCTTACCCCCCCCCAATTCTCCCGTTAGTTGATCCCAATTATACAGGTAGTTCACCCAAATCCTCTCGTTAGCTCGTCTAATCCAGATTCTGTCGAGTCTTCTCCCCAATTCTCTCTGTCCTTTACCTAAATTCACTCGTTAGCTTACCCCAAAAAATTCCCAAGGTAGTTTGCCCTAAATTCTCTCTGCGATTTATTCAGCTGTAATTAATAGCTTTCATAAATACCATAAAAGCCAGGAGCACTACACAGGAGCCAGGAACACTACACAGGAGCCAGGAACACTATACAGGAGCCAGGAACACTATACAGGATCCAGGAACACTACACAAGACCCAGGAACACTACACAGGACCCAGGAACACTACACAGGAACCAGGAACACTTCACATGACCCAGGAACACTACACAGGAGCCAGGAACACCACACAGGACCCTGGAACACCACACAGGACCCAGGAACACTACACAGGAGCCAGGAACACTACACAGGAGCCAGGAACACTACACAGGAGCCAGGAACACTACACAGGAACCAGGAACACTAATGGATCCACTCCTTGAGGAGAGACATCAAATAGATTGAGTTCGTGCTCCGCGAAGTCAGGCCGGCCGGAGAAGATGATTGGTCAAGCACGTTTGCCTGCCATTGGCTGAGAGTAAAATGAATCTTCTTTACATGTTATTCTCTGGCTTAGGCTATCCCCCCCTAAGTTTTACGCGGATTCTATTCTAACTGGGCGAGAATAGCTCGAGGTACCTCATCCCATTGTGTGTATTTATACTTCAATAAACTGAATATGAACTGTGCCTATTCTCAAGTTAAAATAATTTTTCACTCAGCATAAATCTGCTTCCAGTATTAGAAACTCTGCGCTTTGCCTCGTGCTCATATTTTGAATTACTTAAAAAAAAGTATCACTAATACCCTTCGTCCTCTTGATATCAATACTTATGCAACATGTTTACTCCGTTGCATTCTCGTTCACACTGGTTCTCCTGCTTCCACAAATGTTGGTGTTTAGTCAATTTATGTTTCCTGTCGTCCTCTACGAGGCTTTGATGAAACTGGTCGCACACTTAATGACAGATTTTAAGTGCACACGAGAGAAGTGTTAAGCTTGCTGACGCGAACACTGTTCTATTCTATCCTGTCTCTCTCTCTCTCTCTCTCTCTACCCAACCACTTGGGATGGACGGTACAGCGAAGGTCTCGCTTCATGCAGGTCGGCGTTCAATCCCTGACCGTCCAAGTGGTTGGGCACCATTCCTTCCCCCCGTCCCATCACAAATCCTTATACTGACCCCTTTCAAGTGCTATATAGTCGTAATCGCTTGACACTTCCCCCACCCCCCCCCCCTCCTGATAATTCCCTTCCCTTCTCTCTCTCTCCAGACGCCTCATGTTCACCTGGCTGCCATACAGAGCGTGGCCAGCCTGAGCCTTATTGTTGTGGTTTTAGATTCAGGCTACTGGGAATAAAAAATTCCAAGTAGCACAGGGTATGGTGATCCCGTAGTGGACTTACCTGGCACAGGAGCGGGGCTGTAAGTGTGACCTGAGCCTCAGTCATCGCTTTCTTGATGTTGACTCATAAAGTATTAGCAGATTGTTTAATGCTTTAATCTTCTTAGCGAGCGTGATCTGACTTAGTTATTTGCTCCTATGTCCTCTTCTCTTTCTTGATTTTATATCCTTGTGTCTCTATTTTGGTTCTGTCTAACTTCCCGTTTTTCCTTTTCGCGTTTTTCTTCCCTTCATTAAATTTCAATGGATTACTTGTTTCAACCCAGATATTGTGACGGTGTCTTCTTAATCCTAATTATTTAAACATCTACAATATTACACAAATGAACAAATCCACAAGGGACGTGACGAGGATTCGAACCTGCGTCCGAGAGCATCCCAGACGCTGCCTTAATCGACTGAGCTACGACATGGTCTTCTAAAATATATTAAAATATAAACATATGACGGTTGAATCAAAATCTTATTACATGAACCACTTGTCTAACCACCATTACGCTTTGACGGGAAGACAATTGTGTAAGTCTGTCGCAAGGTTGATGAACTACCCCTGTACCCCCGTGTGTGTGTAGACAAGTATATTTTTCATCTTGAAATTGAAATTTAAATAAGTTTATTGAGGTAAAATGCACACAAAGGGATGAGGTAGCTCAAGCTATTCTCACCCCATTCAGTACAACGTGTTAATACATACATAGACACACATCACAAATAAACATATTACCAAACATTCTGAGAGATAAACACATATAAAGTTCCTCCTTAACAAGTAGTATGTTATCAGACGTACACACAAATACTTTTGTGACCTAGGTATACTGTATAGACAATTTTTCATCTTTGTTGCCCCTGCAACCAATCTAGCAACAAGAGGCTCGAGTTTATGCAACCCGGAGCTAATTAAGGTATTTTGCAGGCGAAAAATGTCACAATAACTTTGGTGAAATAACTCAAGCCACAAATATGAAATTAAGTGTCGACGTTTCGGTCCTGGTCTGTCAGCAACCTGACCTCTAACAAAGAACGTCGCTTTTCGTTCACATAAGGCCAAAAATAGTCGTACTAGAAAACGGAAGTGGGTCGCGAAAGTGTCGTACTGTCCCGTTTTCTGTTTTGGGTCCTCTGGCTTAGGCTGGTAGGATAGGAGAGGACACTAAATTAACAGTTTTCTTGTCGGTTTGAAACCTTAGGAGGACGGACTGACATCATACAGGACGGATCTAAACGCCATTGCTGTTGTTACCTATGTATGGCTCAAGTTATTTAGAATATCATATTTTAACTTCATTAATTTGAATTGAATTATAATTCTATCGATGAAGGATTTACAATAAGCAACTTTCCCAGCAAGAACAATGACGATGATTACACACAGGTGTCACTTTCACACAGGACACACAGGTGTCACTTTCACACAGGAGTCACTTTCACACAGGACACACAGGTGTCACTTTCACACAGGACACACAGGTGTCACTTTCACACAGGACACACAGGTGTCACTCACACAGGAGTCACTTTCACACAGGACACACAAGTGTCACTTTCACACAGGAGTCACTTTCACACAGGACACACAGGTGTCACTTTCACACAGGACACACAGGTGTCACTTTCACACAGGACACACAGGTGTCACTTTCACACAGGAGTCACTTTCACACAGGACACACAGGTGTCACTTTCACACAGGACACACAGGTGTCACTTTCACACAGGACACACAGGTGTCACTTTCACTCAGGACACACAGGTGTCACTTTCACACAGGACACACAGGTGTC